AAATAATAACGTTAATAGTAATAAAATCCAGGAAAACGGGAATTATGTCCTCATATTAAGTATACTGGTGGTGAACGGATAAGTTCAAAATTTAGTCTTTAGTTATGTAACAGGTAAAATATATCTATTCCCAAACAAATGGTCCAACCTGGTCATAAAGTTTGCGGTCAAGTAGTGCTAATGCTGCGGTGGAACTCCTCGGCTTCGTGCGGTGTGGAGAACAGCTGGATCTTACCGTTGTGGAGCACCCTCAGCTTACAGGGATGGTGAAACCCGCGGAAGTTTCCCATGCTCAAAAACTTTTTTTTGACATCGTTAAACTCACGCCTCTGTCGAATCGTTTCTGCGGAGAGATCTTGGGCAAATGAGATTTTGGATCCATCGTGGATGATATCTCGATTTCTCGCGTTGCGCAGTACAAATTCCTTGTCTTGAAATTTGAGAAAGCGGACGAGCACCGGTCTGTTTTGGTTGGGAGTTGCAGGTGCCAGCGTACGATGGGCCCTTTCCAGTGTGAAGGATTTCTCGGGTTCAAGACCTATCCATTGAGGGAGTGTGTCGTGTATAAAGTCCAGTAAAGAGCGTGTACCCTCTGCTCCTTCCTTAAGACCGAACACACGGATGTTCTTCCTCCTTCCGCGGTTTTCCAAGTCGTCCGTTTTCATTTCCAGATGTGCAATCCGTTTGGTCGCCATGGTCAACTCAGACTCCGTTCTGTCCAGTCTGTCCTCAATTGCAGAAATGCGCGACTCCGTTTCCTCTATGCGTTTCTCGTTCGCAGAAATCTCACGTTTGATGTCAGTCAGGCTGTTTTCCAAAACTGAGACAGAGCTTGCCATTAGTTCAAGGCGGTTGTTTATGCCATCTAGTTTTGATCCGAATTCGGAGCGAAGCGCTTTTAACTCAGTTAGCACCTCAGCTAAGTCCGCCATGCTGCCGGCCTCCACACTCTCTGTCGAAGGTGATACTTTCGCGCTTCGTGTACTCGTCGTCTTGCGTGCTTTAGTAAAAATATCACATTCCTTCAAAGGCAGTGGTTTAGGCATAGCCAGACCCAGGTTAATAGTCAGTTTGTAAAAGGTAGGAATAGTTTTTTTACGCGAAGTTGTGGAGAGCTCTCAAACTACGCAGCCATCCTCGTCGAGCTCACGTGCGCCCCCCCCACTGAACGACACTTTTGATGATTTTGATCTTTCTCCGATTGTTTTTTTTTTTTGTTAAGAATTAAGATGGAACAAAAGATGGCGAGCCCAGCCCAGTGAGTGTAACGATCATGAAAGTGGTGTGGCCAGCCGCGAGATCTGTTACAGTGTGAGCTGATCTGCTGAATTGTTCGTTAATCCAGCCGATAAGGAGATTCATCTATTTCATCGGTACCGGTAGGAATATTCCATTTATTCAACGCACCTACATCAAGGAGCGGAAGCATTCACGTGAACTTTTGTTTTGGGACCTGACTGTTGGACTGTTTGGTTCGTATACCACATTGAGGAACTGATATTGAACTTTGACTCAATTACGTACAGGAGCATCCGTCTAAAAAAAAAAAAAGCATCGACCGAACGAGTGTATTGACTTACATTGGGTTATTTCATTTAATTTGGAAGCTTTTCATGTTTTTTCTTTCAAGAGTTCACACTTAGCTGATGATTAATTATAAAGCTTGTTTGGCATGCTGTCCCGGGAGAGAGCCCTGAGCTCATGAGATCCTCGAGCCCAGGGCTCCCTCCCGTTGCAAGGCGGGAGGGGAGTTTGAGCTCAGGTAGATCTCGAGAACTCCCCTGCTGTAGCAAGTGAATGCTCTTGAAATTAATTACTAACTAGAAGTGTGTCTATGTTAGGGTTGTAACAATATACCGGTATGACGGTTTACCACGATTTGAACGTGCACGATTATCATACCATGAACAATTGCATATCAACGGTTTTAACCCTTAAAGACCGAGACAGCCGCCCGCGGCTAAAAATAAGTATTGCTCTTAAATGTTTAATAACTTTTGATCCGCTGATCCGATTCATACAATTCAAAGATTGGCATAAAGAAGAGAATCGCAGCTTTCCAGTGCTGTATCACATAACATTCGCGGACTTTCAGAGGCTCCGGAATCAGTGCGGTTACGTCATCAACATTTGACAACGCTGATTTGACAAAGAAACGCTCGTCACTGTGTCTCCGGACAAACCAGACACGATACATTGATGCATTGTCCCTCCTCCATGCCCAGATTGGTTCAAACTCGCTATATCACAACCAATAAGCATAGGTTTCGCTTTTGTTTGTGGACCAAGCTTTTTGAACAACACGGAATGAGAGATAGGCATACATTTATGCGCGGCTAAATAAAACGCAAAAAAAAAAGTTTTTCATGAAATAATTCTCATACTAAGTACTTTTGCATGCACAGCAGCACAGAAACATGACAAAACAGTGACACAGCAAAGACGAACTGCTGCTCGTGCTGTTTTCAAAAGACGCAAATGAAGATGCAGCTGTTTGTCTGCATTGCAGACAACCATATCCAAATCCATATCGATAGACAACCATATCCATGCTGGCACATAAAACCTAAGGATGTTCCATATTGAATCTAGTTTCGTTATGTAACTATTTATAGTATAGTAAATATTTATATCTATTTTTTACTGAGGATTTGCACCATGTTTATTTGGACTTTATTTGGACTTTGACACATTATTTATTATTTTCTTATTTTTATTTGTTCATTGTAAGTGGTGTTGTTTATAGTAACTAAAATATATTATTTGGAAAAAGTCAAATTTGCTTCACTGTTCTATTATTTTGTAACATTTGTAACATACCGTATACCGCGAAACCGTCAAACCGTGGTATTGTTTTAGACGATTATCATACCGTGAAAAATTCATACCGTTACAACCCTAGTCTATGTTGACAATTTGGATTGTTCAATTGACTTAATTGCATGTTTTTAGGCGGTGGGAGGAAACCGGGGAACCCGGGGGAAACCCACGTGAGCACGGGGAGAAGTGCAAACTCCACACAGAAATGTCTGCTAGTTTTGGTAAAGCCAGGAACCAGAGACATTCTTGGCACTGGGCCACCGTGTCACCCGTCTAAGAAGAAGGAGTAGGGGAGGAAGGGGGGACTCTTCAAAACGAAGATAGCAATGGAATAAACCCCTGGGTATTTATAGTAGTTTAGGAGTCATCTGATTGGATCGGAGTGATTTAGATAATGCGGGTCAGCTGCTTGCAATCATAAGCACGTGATCCTCTCGAAATTTGTTTATACATAAACTTCACTTCAACTCATTTATTTTATTTTATTTTATTATCGGAGTACTCCATTGATGTTTAAATTGTTTATTGTGAGTTTTCTGCAATAAATCAGTTAATTGTTCAACTCCCTCATCCTTCATTGTGCTACTCCAGTGGAACCTAGATATATTGTGGTACTAATAGTGCTGGTCCAAATCTAAAAGTGCTACATAAACATTAACATGGACATCTTAATAAAGGAATAAACACATTAAGGGTGTTAATTTGCTAAAATTCGTACTAAAATCTGATTTATATATATTGTGCAACTGTAACCCCACCAGATTCTACACCACCCAACCCGCTCTGAGCTGGGATCGAACTGGCGACCTTCCGCATGGGAGTCGGTTGCTCTACCAAGGAGGCTAAAGAGCATAGCTTCTAGCGGCTGTCGCTAGAGCACCTTTAGAGGTCAGAGGAGTGAGGTTTACCTGCACAGCACTTACTAGCTGGCCTCTGTTACACAACGTCTATTTATATTGTCTTTATGTATAGTATATATTTTGAAAATAGGGAAAAACAAAACATCGTTGTATGAGTGCTGTAATGTTTAAATCATTTTTCTATAAAAAACGCGTGAAGGTCACGTGACCATCTGGAAGAACGCAGCATCTCATTTATCACAGGACGTGTTCTCTGTTCCCGCGGTCTCCTAAGTTCATTCTTCCGAGGTGAACTGGCAAGACCGGTCTCCACAAGAACGCGAGTCCGTTCTCTGCTTTCTTGGAATTGAGAAACAGCCATGGTCACTAGTGGGCGGGGCTTTCCCCATCTGATAACACGTAAAAAGGGAGAATGCCAATCAAAGTGTTTCTGCAGACTGTTTTTATCAAGTCTGACTATAAAAAATAACATTATAACCATCAGAAGCTGATTATATTCACAGACTGTCATCACACGGCCACAGCCATGTCACCCTGCAGCCCAAGAGCGGTTACTCACTGAAGCTAAGCAGGGCTGAGCCTGGTCAGTACCTGGATGGGAGACCACTAGGGAACACCAGGTTGCTGTTGCAAGTGGTGTTAGTGAGGCCAGCAGGGGGCGCTCAACCTGTGGTCTGCGTGAGTCCTAATGCCCCAGTAAAAGTGAAGGGGACACTAAACTGTCAGTGGGCGCCGTCATTCGGATGAGACGTTAAACCGAGGTCCTGACTCTCTGTGGTCATTAAAAATCTCATGGCACTTCTCGTGAAAGAGCAGGGGTGTAACCCCGGTGTCCTGGCCAAAGTCCCTCTATCCGCCCTCACGATCATGGCCTCCCAATCATCCCCTTCCACCGAATTGGCTCTATCACTGTCTCTCCTCTCCACCAATAGCTGGTGTGTGGTGAGCGCACTGGCGCTGTTGTCCTGTGGCTGCCGTCGCATCATCCAAGTGGATGCTGCACACCGGTGGTGGTGTGGAGAGACCCCCCTCATGATTGTGAAGCGCTTTGGGTGTATGGCCATACACAATAAATGCGCTATATAAATACACATTACATTACATTACACACAACTCCCTGTTAAAGTGATTTTTTTGCATAATAGGTAATTATACTAACTAGTTACAGCATTCCAGTTACTAACTACACCCAACACTGCATGCGAGTACTGTTGCATACGGCATGTCATAGCCATCTGGAGTTCTGTGCATTCAGGAAAACACAAAGTGTGCACAGTAAGTATGACTATTATGTGTAGTGTAATAGTAGCATATACATACGCAGGCCACTTTGAGCAGGTTCCAGAGCTCCTTCTGTCGCTTCTCCTGTAAATGCAGCAGTTGTTTCTCGCTCCTCGCCATGGCGCTCACCAGCCCTTCAACACGCGGCAGCAGAGCCAGAACGCGCTGACGGCACACCATCGTCTTACTGCACACAGTTACATTCAGTCATTTAGCAGACGACACTCACGATTGAGGAGGCATTCAGCGATTCAACATGAAGAGGCAATACAAGAGAGGTAATTATACAAGGGAACTGTTAGTGCTCAGAATTAAGTGCTAGAGTAAGAAAGAGGGTGTTTTTTATTGAAAAGAGTGTTTCTACAGGTGGGCGAGGCAGTGGCGCAGTAGGTAGTGCTGACGCCTCACAGCAAGAAGGTCGCTGGGTCGCTGGTTCGAACCTCGGCTCAGTTTGCATGTTCTCCCTGCCTTCGCGTGGGTTTCCTCCGGGAGCTCTGGTTTCCCCCAGGTACAGGTGAGGTACAGGTGAATTGGGTAGGCTAAATTGTCCGTAGTATTTGAGTGTGTGTGTGTGGATGTTTCCCAGAGATGGGTTGCGGCTGGAAGGGCATCCGCTGCGTAAAAACTTGCTGGATAAGTTGGCGGTTCATTCTGCTGTGGCGACCTTGGATTAATAAAGGGACTAAGCCGACATGAAAATGAATGAATGAATGAATTTCCACAGGTGGTTTGTCAAACCCACTCATCTGTGTGAGGCACACTTTATAAATGCAATGTTTTCTTTATGATATGGAATGATTATGAGAAAGTGTCTGGTGCAAAAGTGGTGCAAGTGTCGCTTGAAGTGTCAGAGAGATGAAAGAGTTGTTTTCTATGGGTGGTTTGTCAAGCCCACTCACCTGTGTGAGGCACACTCAGAACTGATGTTTCATTTATTGATTTATTAAATATTGATTTATTTACTTAGTTATGCTACTTTTATGCCACAAATCATTAGAATAGTAAGAAAAAGATGATAATCCATGGCCATATCCTATTGATATATTGTTCCTACTGTAAATATATCACATCTTTATTTTTGTTTAGTATTATGCATTGCTATAAACTTAATTTGGACAACAAAAAAACCCTATTAGAACTCTCTATTTGTTTGTCTTCAGTCGATGTTGGGATACTCTTTTAAACCTGGAAACATTAACAACTTACATGGAAATATATATTTTGTTTAATATGTAAAATAGTTATCGTGATTGCATTTTTGCCATATCTCTCAGCCCTAGTTTGAATCTGATTTCGTTGACTGAATAACTATGGAATATCATTCTTTCCCTTATTCATCCATTCATTCATTTTCCTTCGGCTTGGTCCCTTTTTATTAATCAGGGGTCACCACAACGGAATAAACCACCAACTTACAGCATATGTTTACACAGCAGATGCCCTTCCAGCTGCAACCCAGTACTGGAAAACATCCATACACACATTTACAAACACACTCCTACACTACAACCAATTTAGTTCATCAATTCCCCTATAGCGCATGTGTTTGAACTGTGGAGGAAACCGGAGCACCTAGAGGAAACCCACGCCAACACGGGGAGAACATGCAAACTCCACACAAACATGCCAAATGAGCCAGTTGGGACTCAAACCAGCAACCTTCCTGCTGTGAGGCCATAGTATTAACCACTGAGCCACCATGTCACTATGGGACATCATTTCACCCATATTTTGTTTTCAGAAATGTTATATGAAAGACAAAGTCACTTTACCTGCATATAATATGTTGAAGTTTAATCTAAAGCGATCACATCTTTGGCTCTTGTTCTAAGCTCTAGTTTTTATTTCAGCATTTTGAGTTTTTTAAACCCTGATATTCCAGATTATTTCAAGTAGTTGTATCTCAGCCAAATATTATCCTATACTAACTGGAAAAGTTCAGTTTCTCACAGGAAAGTTTATTTATTCAGTTCCCAGATGACGTATGAATCTCAATTTCAGATAACTGACACTTACGACGGTTTCGTGGAGCCATTTCCTACCAATTTGTTAATTCAATCTGGATTAAATGGCATAACTGAGTCACTTTTATTTCCATATTGTGTCATTCACAAAACAAATTCAATATAAAGGAAATAATAGGGAAACAGTCATGTATACCGTCGTTAATTAAACATTGCTTTATAGGGGTGAAGTAAAAAATCTTACAAAAATAAAGAATATTATATCGTATTATATTAGCAGTAATTGATACTTCCTAAACTATGTGGTTTTATTAGCAGAATTAAATACAAACTATTATGTTTATTGTAAAATATGACTAACCTACTGAAAGCCAGAAAAGCTCTCCAAGTTCATCTCCCTTTTGGAAATTCCCGTTATATGTATTAATCATATTGTTATATAGATTTATAGGGTAAGACCCTTGTTTTGTAGGTCTTACATCTTGTTTACAATTATGAAAATTGTAGCGAGCGTTGCTAAGTGTTCACACGCGTAACATAAACATCTGTAATTGGCTACGAAGTTTGTTAAAAAATCAAGGTTAAAAGCCGATGATTAAGAGAAGCGGACATTGACTGATGGGGTTAGAATATAGTCGCTATATTTGCATGTTATTTAGTATTCTATCATCGATATGTATGAAAATACAGGCGATTTTGACATTGTGATTGGTCAGTGCCTTCTTACGTTCATTTGACGTAGCCTATCTGAACGTGTCGCGCGCGTCATGATCTAAAAGCGCGGCACGGGAGTGTTTGACATTAGCAAGGACAGAATGTTTACCATTTTTATGAATTCGTTTAGCGACTTGGTACTGAAATACAGCTCTGACAGCATTATCATTACATGGATGTCATTGTACAGCGTTTCCTATCTTCTCCCGACGGATGCAGGCGAGTATTTTCCTAAGCATGAACTCAGAATGGTGCTAATGTTAGCATATAAAAACGTACGTTAATCCAATAACAAATTAATTATTTAATACTACAATTGGTGCTAAAATTTGTGTTTTATGTTTCGTTTTTTCCAAAATTATAACATTTTATTATGTTAAATCTGAGATTTAATATTAGAATGTGTTTTAGTTATATTTTACCATTTCACAATGAACATAATAGCGTTAGTTTATATTTAATTCTGCAAAATTAACCGCAAAGAAACTGTATTATTATTCATTAATGATAATATTATACAATAAAATATTCGTTATTTTTTACAATGTTTTTAACTTCACCTTTATAAAGTAATGCTTATGGAAGAATACATGACAGTCTATTCTGACTGTTTCCTTTTTATTAGTGTAACTCTGTACTGTGTATATCGCAATATGGAAATAAAAACAACGCAGTCATGCCTCCAAATTCATTTAATGGACAAATTAGTATAAAAATTGGACCACAAAACGTCGTAAATGTCAGTTGTCATACATCATCTGAAAGCTGAATAAATTAATTTTCCACTGAAAAAGTGAGCTTAGTTAGTAAAGTTACTACAGGATAATATTTGGCTTTGGAGATAAAACTACTTGAAATAATCTGGAATATCAAGGTTTAAAAAACTCAAAATACTGAAATAAAAACTAGGGTTTAGAACAAGAGCCAAAGATGATCTCTTCAGATTAAACCTAAACATTATATGAAAGTAAAGTGACTTATATGTTTTACTCTAACTTTCATGAAAACAAAATAAGGGTGAAATAATCGTTCAAGGAATGAAATCGGATTCAATCACATGCTTATATAATTATTAAAATATATGTTAAAAAATAATTGGTCAAAATGTGGTTACATTTCAAGTTTCTAAAAACTTAGAGCAGACATGGAGATACCACTCCTTCTCATACTTCAGCCTCCATATCAAAGTTCCTGAAAGCAAAGGAGGTCAAGCTGCTCCAGGATTGGCCAGTCCAGTCACCAGACATGAACATTACAGAGCATGTCTGGGGTAAGAGGAGGAGAAGAGAAGATGAATCTAAAGAGTCTTGATGAACTCTGGGAGTCCTGCAGGAACGCTTTCTTTGCCATTCCAGATGACTTTATTAATCAGTGATTTGAGTCAGTGCAGAGATGTATGGATGCAGTCCTCCAAGCTCATGATGGAGTCAGACACAATATTCATTCTGTCTCCACTGCAGCAGGACTTTATATTCTATACTGGACATGATTTCTGTACAGTGACAAGACTTTTGTCTCAGAACAAAGTTCTGAGTCAGACCTTACTGTCATAATTAAATAATTAATAATCAAGGCATGATCATATTTTATTTTGGAAAATAAGCGTAATCTAGAGGCCTTTGCCTTTCATTTAATACCACTTCTAATATCAAATGATCAGCTAGAAGTCAACTTACTATTTGTTGCACCTAAAACTTGAATACGCAACAAGACTCTTGTCAAGTAGTGTATTATGAGTGGCAAATAATGACAATGATATTGTTTATTGCAATATATCGTACAAAAAAAAAAAAAAAAACAGATATCGTGACAGGCCTACACTGCAGCTTCTCAAAGTGAACATCCATGTTTTATTGTAGCAAGTCAGACATTTGAACAAAATGCAAACAAACAAAAATATCTACACCAGTTTGCTCCACTTTATCAAGCTAAAAACATAAAAAGCAATCAGGAAAAACAGAGACACTCGAAACAGAGTTAAGTTATTGTTTTCTGAATGTCTTGATTGATCACATATTTCAGCATCCAAACTAAGGCCCCGTTTACACTAGTGCGTTTTAGTTTTAAAACGGCGTTTTAGAATGAAAACGATCCGCGTCCACACTCGCGTTTTACCCAGCGTTTCTGAACTGCTCTCCGTCCACACCAAAACGCTGAAAACGCACATTACGTGACCACACACACTCTCGGGCAAGTGCTGCAGCCCATCTACCCAGATGAGAACTCTGCTAGTCGGACTTCTCATCAAGCATCTCCCGCTGGATCTAATCTCACTATATTTATTAAACGGGATATTTCATTCATCTTGTTGTCTTTATCTAACGACATATTCCCTGACTTTGGTCATTGGAATCTATTACTTGTTCTCAGGTAACGTGTTTTGGCTGAGCGCAAAGATAAGTTAATGATTAATGTAACCACGTAGCCTACATTCTGTATATTGACTGATCGCTTGCCTTTATTTCCTATAATGTATAAACTTATTGTATGTTATACTTTTATAATGGCCATTATCGATTATTAAAATTGATATTCAGCAAAAGAGAGGGTGTGTTTCGTATTTTCACTGAAATTGAAAGGAGGCAGTTGTTATCGGCTCCGTTTTGTTATAAATATCCACACAGTGAAGATGACGCCCATATATGCAGCACGACACCTCAACATTTCTGCTGTCTGTTTAGTTGCTAATATTAAAATGAAAATAGGCAGTTCCTTAAATCATGTGTACATTTTATTGTTGAGAAAGTGAAACATTGTAGCCAGGGTGATGTGAATGAAGTTATAAAGTACACTGTTCCCTTTAAAGATTTATCCGTGTCCTCAGTATAGTCTGTTTACCATATCAAACTGAGAAGAAGAGACTACAGCCTTGATCAAACTTGCGAGGTCTGAACTTACACGGAGAGAAAGCAGGACTGAACTGTGCGTGTTAGGCTACTTAATATTCAGGAAAAGCCCCAATCAGAGAGGCGAACGTCTGCAGCCCCGCCTCCGTTTTCAGATGTCTCCATTTTCCATCATCCACACTGAGACGGAGCAGCAGCGTTTCAGAATGAAAACGGCTTCTCCAGCGTTTTCGAAACGCTCCGTTTTCGGTGCTCGAGAACTCTGGCGTAGTGTGGACGGTTGGCGTAACCGTAGCAAAACTTATGCGTTTTCAAACTAAAACGCATTAGTGTAAACGGGGCCTAAAATCAGTAAAGATTTCTGGATCAAAAAAGCCTGGATGTCCGTCTGCTTGTTTCAAGAGAAGTGTGTTCACATGTTAAAACATTGCCTGTAGGGGTGTAACGGATCACGGTTGATCATATAGATTTGACGGTATGGAACACACATGACCCGTGGATTAATACATTGTTTTACTGGTAGATTAATCCTAAATTTGTAATCGCCTCCCACATTATTCAAATCATCATTCAAATCATATTGTGTTAATCAAATTAAGAATTGTGACGGGTTATTTAAGATGTGGTGGGTTTCATTGAAGGGGTTTTCTGTCAGCTTGTTTAGCCTGGATTAATGCATTCTGTGTGTGCTGCATGACTAATCATTAAAAGATCAGGATCTCAACACCCACGCAGCATAAATTATAAATGATGGTGATTTGCATTTGTTTATTAATCCTTCAAATCGCTGCATTCACATCTGAAAATGCACAAATCAAGAAAGATTGAGTCTTTAGTCTTTTGAGCTAGTTATGAAGCTACAAACTGCCAAATAACACTGGGAGTACAATTTATAGTTTAGATAAAACCACTGATGTTTATGGTAAAAATTAAAATCACCATCATATGCATTTAACTTGCAGCAATTACATTATTTCAACAATAGGTGGCGACAACCAGCCATCAAATATATGCCATTGAATAATTCTTCAAGCATGATCATCTAGCAATGAAACATGACGTTTTATGAGTGAATCACTGAATCATTTATTAAAAATGAGACTAAAATAAATATGAATTGTACAAATTATAATGCATTTAGCGTTATCAGCAAACAGTAGTATTAACAGTGAATTTTTACAGAACCGAATATTTTACTATTATTTTTATTCAGCTGATTATTTCTTCATTTTATTTGTATTTAAATTACAGGTTGTAACTTCTGTTTGTTAAAACCAAAAGTGTCTTGCAGTGCTGCTTTTGTAATAAATGGAAAGGAAATTACATCTGTCTCCTCCCCTTTTTGGCTGATGCGAAAAATGATCTGATCTGTGAGCAGAAAACCATAACGTGATCCGTATTGTGAGATTTGAGACCTGTTACACCGCTAGTTGCCTGATGTGCTAAAAATCTTCATGGCAGCCACACAAACATACCTTTTATTTTAACATGAACTATTGCGATATGCAGGGGCGATTTTATTTTCCTTATAAGGTAAAAAAACAAAACAAACAAAAAATATAAATATAAAGCCTAATATTACATTTATTTGTAGCAACTTAATAGTAATTCACTCACTGTTTGTTTAATATGAGTTGTATACTAGTATTACATAGACAGGCACAGCCATTTGAGTTCTGAGTAATCCAAATAGGCTCAACTCACCTGTTTACTGTAGTAAAAACCCCTTTTTATATTAAAGTGCATTTTTTTTGTTTTCATGTATTAAATAAATAAACTGCCACTTTTCTAATTAAATGCCACACATATAATTATATATTTTTAAACCTACTGGCTTATTCACATATTTCACGATCTGAACGATAATATTAAGTATTTGTTTTTAATACTAGACAACATTTGATGTTTCTATCTCTGTCAGTAACTCCGTGACGGTTAAAATAAGTACATTCTCTAACGCCCTGTTCACATGGGGCTTCAGCGTCGACGCTTGACTGAAGGCGTGTCTGAAGTTGGGGCTGACTCGATCGTCATAGCAGCATCAGCCAATGAAATTCAGTCAGCAATCCGCTTGTTAAGTGGTGACGTGTTTGTGACGTATGTAATACTGTTTCGGGGTCCAAGCCGCCATTCCTTTGAATGGAGAAATCATTCGTTTATGATCACGTTTTATTCCTATCACACATTAAAGTTAATTTTATATAAAATCATAGTGTACACAACAATCTCTGGGCTTGCTGCATAACAAATACCAAAAATTTAACAATTTATAAAGAAATTTATCACTTTCTGGCCATCGGATATTAGGCATGGACATATATACTGCAATCGTGTTTTTCGAAAGCCTTAAATCGCTTTGTAAACGTTTATTATTACCATTTCATGAGTCTCCCCATTCAGTTGAATAGAGCGCTTGGACCCGGAAGCCGCTTCGCGTGACGTCACATTTAACAAGCGGATAGGCCACTGTCTAGCTGACCTATTTGCATACAGTGATCTGATAGGCTGACGCATCCGTTGGCGCTTGTAAAGTTGAGCTAATCCCAACTTCTGCAGCGAGCAACGCCTCTGAAGCAGCGCTGACGAATCCACAATGCAGTTGGCAACGCCTGACGTCACTCATTCAAATTGAATGGGAAGCGTTGACGCTGTCGCCCTGTGTGAATGGGGCGTTAGTGCTTCTGTCACTGTGTTTAATCCTTTCTGTGCAAGACTGTATGGTATAGTTAATGCCACACGAACTGTAAAGTGTTTAAAATTGGTAGTTCATTTTGAAAAAAAAGAGAGTGAAATGTTTGTTTAGAATTACATTTGTCGCTGGAGGTAATAGCTGTTCTGATGAGGTGGACGCCGAGAAAACCTGACTGCTCCTTCGTGACATTGAGATACAGGTGTGATAAGGTTATCTATATTAACGAACTACACATGAGCAGATATTAGAACAATCTATCGATAAACACACACCTTGTTCTCTCGCTGTCCACGGCTCTGGTTTGCTGATCAAATGAAAAAACAATAAACGGGGAGGAGCTGAAATCTGCCGCCGTTTTTATATAAAATTTGAAGGGGATTGAGGCGATAATTTAGTGTACAGATTTTGAGCTAATCGCAAAAGTTTTAGGGGGGCTGAGTAGAAATACAGGGAGGCTTTAAAATAGGCCTAGAAACACCCATGGCGATATGTACATTTACAGTTTTTCAATATCGTCAACATACTGTGCATCTCTACTTTTTATTAAGCTAGTGTCTTCTGTAACTCAGTGATTATTAAACAGCACTCTTTGTCTGCAGAATGTTGTGTTTGGATTAAATGCACTGACACCAACCTCAGGTGTGTGTAAAAGTCCCGTAACTTCCTCTCGTAGAACTGCACGGCTTGAACCACCAGTTTGATGACCTCCTGACAGTCGCCCATACTGCGCTGCTCTGAAGAAAGCAACACACACTTTCAGATCACACACACACACGCTCATGATGATGCTGAAAACCTGCGTCTTACCTCTGGGTTTCTCTCTGAGTTTACGGAAGAGCTCCATGGCCTTCACTTCACTGCAAAACACAACACCGGTGAGTGCCAACATATTCCATGTCAAATGTCAACCTTGAACAGTATATTTTATATATTTATATTTTTCAGCCATAAAAACTATAATATTTTCCCCAAAACAGTGAAAGCCTTTTTAAGTTGGTTGTGTAGGCTTGTATTTTACAGTACTGTGAAAATACTCAACAATGTTTTCAATGTCAATGTTTTAAAACTATTTCATTAGATTTTTCACATCTGTCACACTCATGAAGCTTTTTCCTCATAAATGTAAACGTTAAAACACACACACACACACACACACACACACACACATATATATATATATATATATATATATATATATATATATATATATATATATATATATATATATATATATATATATATATATATATATATTAGGGGTGTCAAAATTAATTGTTTCTTCGGTGCACCGCGATGCAGACGCGGACAATTCGGTATAAGTTCAGTAATAATCATAACCGGTTATTATGTACTGACGTCATTTATATCCTATGCGCTCTGTCGCGAGGGAGGTGAGCGCGAGTATTTACAACACAGCCAACTCAGGGCCGGCCCGTGGCATAGGCACCATAGGCAAATGCTAGGGGCGCTGTACATCCAGGGGGGAGCCAGAAATGAGCACGGTTCAGTTGGTTTTGTTTTCGATATTCCTGACACACATTCAGTTACAGACGGCAATAACTCAAAAACCTCTTACCCTAAAAAGATCTAAAGTGTGTTTCCTACAAAAAGACAAAGCTGGTTATGTTTCACAGTTGTCTTTCTTTTTTTTTCGCTCAACATTACAAGCAATGCTCCGTTTAAGCCCTCGCAATATGTGTTTAGACGGGAGAGCTCGCGCTGAGAGGAGCTCTCAGTAATGCCTAGTTCACACTAGAGGATTTTAAGCCTGATTTGAGCCCGATTTGGAAGTTAACGAGCTCGCCGACAGATCGGGCTGTGATCGGGAAGAAATCTGCGGGTGCTCGGCGCTCGCCGCTCTTTATGTGTGAACTACTGAACAACGCATCAATGAGGCTTGCTGACGCGTCGCCGACACCTCGCAGACGGAAATCCAACATTCAGCATGCTAAATATTCCAGAGCAGTCGGCCGACTCAACCCCACGTGTGGTCAGATGTAGTGACGAGCTGCAGCCAATGAGAGAGCATATCAGCATGAGCTGAATGGCTGTGTGTTCAGGAGCTCAGCAGAAACATCTGTGATTGGTCAGAATGGGCATCGGTGCACTCGCTTCATTCTGCGTTAACACAGACATGAGAGGAGGATATATTAACAGTGGAACTAGAATTCTGCAACTATTAGATTTACCATACTGCTCATTCTGACCGTTCTCATATAAAACGCCATATTGTCACAACATATTTACATTCAAAGCTATTATTGAGATATTAAAATTAAGCTTTGAATGTCTGGCATCATATTTAATGACACCATTACCCTAAAAATATAATATTTTTTTAATACAGTAATAATACAGCCTATAAATATGTAGTTAAGATACTAAAACACTTAAAGGTCTTGGCTTTCATTTTCAATTTCAAACAGGAGCTATTCGGCACAGAATCTGCTGTTTTGAAAGATATCTGAAGTAAATTGATGTTTTTGCCATCAGAAAGTTTTGTTTATGTTAGCAGGAAGTTGCCAGGCAAGAAAATGCACACATATTTAAAGTCACAGCCAAAAGTATCAGACATGCATGCAGTCATGCTGACCAATATGGTAATTTAAGGCAGAAATGCTCAGTTCTTTACTGTTTTGTAATTTAAAAAAAAATAACAATGTCAGAAAGAAATACACTGATAGTTAGAAAACAGCAGGATGTTATAAATATGTTAGTTTTATTTCAAAGAGTTATAAAATTACAAAAATTAAAAACTCTCTGTGTATCTATCCACTCGAACCTTGCAGATGAGTGATTAATCCGCTGATTTGACGATGTTTTTAAATGCTTTCTCCAAAGCTTGAAACGCTGTCAGTGATGTCATCAGCACACAAGCAGCCAATAGTGTTCAGCTTTTTCTGACGACTCCTCCCTAAAATTTTCATTGGCTGTGGTTTGGTAGCTTGAATGAGCTGATGGGGAATGAGTTGTTGTCAGATCATGTAGTGTGTGACCCCCCTCTTGTGGATCGTTCACGGAGTGTTGCGTAGTGTGAACACCACAGAGATTAAAAGACACAAAGTCAAGTCATGTAGTGTGAACGGCACAGCGATCTGCTGATGTTTAAAATCCTGTAGTGTGAACTAGGCTTAAGGGACTGTCAGAAAAGTGCTTCTTTTTTTCGCCTCTATTTTTCATTTTTCTGCTCCGCTCAGCGCGAGCTCTCCCTGTTGCGAGGGCTTAAGTGTGTGTGTGTTTGTATGTGTGTGTGTTTGTTTGGTGATGTCTATGTTTGTGTGTGTTTGAATGAGAGACAGTGTGGTACTGTGTCTCTGTGTGTTTATACAAACAGCTTGTTATAGCCTCCCCCCTAAAATATAACACTGTGTATGGAAAGCATCGTCAATGCACCGTGATGCACCGAGATTTCGAATTGAACCGAATCGAAGGCATGATAATCGTAACCGAACCGTGAGACTGGTATAGGTTCACACCTCTAATATATATATATATATATATATATATATATATATATATATATATATATATATATATATATGTATGTATGTATGTATGTATGTATGTATGTATGTATGTACAACAGTTCTGTCTGGTTCTTGAATTTGATTGGCTGATGATAGCGGTGTGATATTCTACAGTGACAAATATTGCAGCTGTTGGACAACATAATGTAGTTTTGAGGCTTTTTCAGTGGAGAATGTAGTTGTTTAAATTGCAACTATGCAGTTTATTTATAAGGATAGTGCCTATTTTAAAACATTTATAATGGAGCGTCTGTGGCCATTACCCTGTCATTGAGCTGAGCAAAGACGGTTAACATTGTCCATCCACAAGATGGTGACAGAGACCACAGAATAAGCCCTTAAATCAAGGGTCACCAATCTCGGTCCAGGAGGGCTGGTGTCCCTGCATGGTTTAGCTCCAACTTGCCTCAACACACCTGCCTGGGTGTTTCAAGTATACCTAGTAAGACCTTGATTAGCTTGTTCAGGTGTGTTTGATTAGGGTTGGAGCTAAAATCTGCAGGACACCAGCCCTCCAGGAACAAGTTTGGTGCCTTACAAGATTAAAAACAGCGTAATTTCTAACTACAGCTGATCAAATCATTATTAAACTTGTAAGTGACATTCTAAGGGGCCAATTACACCGAACGCGCTATTCCCTTTCAAAAAAAGTATTAATTAACACCTACATTTTTAGATGTATTATTCTCCCTGATTCATTTCATCTAATATATTGGCCAGCTCATATTAAACATTATGTCATCAGGAGTATGACTACATGAGTGTAGTATGTGTGTTGATTACAGCGTCTCTAGAGCCTCTCCACTCCTCCACGGCTGTCTCTGCAGATCCACAATATCAGTCTGAAGGGTCATCATCTCCTCCTCCAGCTTAAACACGTCTTCTGTCTGACGCACACACAGTTACAACACTCAAACACACTGCTGTACCACTGCACACACACGATCTTTAGGACAGCAGAGAAGTGGTAAATCCTTACCTGGCCACAGTCGAGGGCCGTTTGCTCCATTTCTCTCCACACACTCAGCAGTTTTTCAGAAGCTGGAAAACAGGGCAGTAAACACACACTGAATGAGCATGTTAACAGGCTGAAAGTAATGCAGTGTTGAGTGTGGGAAATCAGGTATGTGTGGAATGGTAAATCATTTAATTTACAGTTGAAGTCAGAATTATTAGCCCCTCCTGTTTCTTTTTTTCCCCAATTTTTGTTTAACGGAGAGCTGATTTTTTTTAGCACATTTCTAATCATAATAGTTTTAATAACTCATCTCTAATAACTAATTTATTTTATCTTTGTCATGATGAAAGTAAATAATTTTTGACTAGATATTTTTCAAGAAATTTCTATACAGCTTAAAGTGACGTTTAAAGACTTGACTGGGTTAATTAGGTTAACTAGGCAGGTTAGTGTAATTAGGCAAGTTATTGTATAATAATGGTTTGTTCTGTAGACTATCACGAAAATATAGCTTAAAGAGGCTAATAAATTTGACCTTAAAATGCTGTTTAAAAATTTAAAACTGCTTTTATGCTAGCCAAAATAAAACAAATAAGACTTTCTCCAGAAGAAAAAATATTATCAGACATGCTGTGAAAATTTCCTTCCTCTGTTAAACATCATTTGGGAAATATTTAAAAAAAAATTCAAAGAGGGGCTAATCAGTTTTCTTTCTTGATCCATTTATATGGATACACCTTAATAAAATGAGAATGGTTGGTGATATTAGAGTCCTGTTTGTGGCACATTAGTATATGTGAGGGGGCAAACCTTTCAAGATGGGTGGTGACCATGGTGGCCATTTTGAAGTCGGCCATCTTGGATCCAACTTTTGTTTTTTCAATAGGAAGAGCGTCATTCGACACATCAAACTTATTGGGAATTTCACAAGAAAGACAATGGTGTGCTTGTGCTTATAAAATGTGTTCATTGTGCCCATTGAGTTGGATTGTCAATGCAACCCTCTTCTGCCACTCTTCACACACTGATAGCAACAGGCTCTTTGATGTGTCAAATGACCCTCTTGCTATTGAAAAAAACAAAAGTTGGATCCAAGATGGCCGACTTCAAAATGGTCATCATGGTCACCACCCATCTTGAAAAGTTTGCCCCCTCACATATACTAATGTGCCACAAACAGGACGTTAATATCACCAACCATTCCCATTTTATTAAGGTGTATCCATAGAAATGCCAGTGGCGCAAAAAGGGGGTATGCATAGGGGCGCCACACATGGGCCATGACACCCCCCACTTTCGGTTAGTCTACTTCAGAATTTTTTCAAAAGATGCATGATTAATGGGCGTGGAGCTCCGCGAGCATCGGGCAGGAGTGGGCGTGGCCAGCAGGGGAGAACGTGAGCGAACGAAGCTAGCTCACAAAATGAGACAAACCGTGAGGAGACGCATGAGTTTATAGTTTACAAAGTTAAAATGCAAAGAAATGAACAGTAATTTAATGCCCTGCTACATTTGTTATTCGTAATTTCATATACAGACAACCACAATTTATATCATTATAAAGATAAGTGTGTTCATGTAAACACTATAAATGAGGACTTCTCCTTCAATCCCCGTATCCAGCACACTCAGTGCAGCAGGTCTCCTGACCTGTCTATTTTAACCGTTAGCCCTGCTGGTAATCTTGAGGATTTAGGCAAACACAGCAGCACAGTGATGTGTCTGAATGTGAACGAACTCCTGATGAAAGACAGCGTCGGCCATTCTCTAATTCTCGTGCTGCTCTCCCGACAAAAATGCTAGCAGCACACACACAGCTTTGCTGTATGATCGGCCCTGACAAGATTGTGGGGGAAAACATGCAACAAACCGCGTGGATCATGGAAACAAACGCATTTGAGCCTTCATGAACGGCTAAATACTGTGTGCCCGTGCCGTGGATCCGTGCCGTGTCTCACAGCTCGGGCTTGACTCTGGCAGATCTGGTAGGTCTCATGAATAATTAAGCAGCCGGCTCTTCTTATAGGATAAGAAAACTCCGCTATGAATAATAATGAGAAACCGACGCGTCATCATTGCACTTGCAGTTCTGCGCTACGTGACCGATTTTGATCCCCCCTCGAAAATCATTTTAAACCCGGAAGCTGAAATTAGCTGACAAAAGCTCAAAATTACCCAGTTTTCCCCACAATTAAAGCTGACAGGTGCGAACATCGTCTTAACTGATGCTCAACACACAAATCTGTTAATATAAAAAAAAAAAGTTCTCCAGGGTGTCCTGAACCTTTAAAAGTTTCAAAAAAAAAATATATATATATTTTGTTAAAAATGTTTATTTAGCATTTTATACGCGTATAATTTTGTATTTTATTAAATAAAGAAATCATTCCACCCCTCCCCCCATTTTTTTATACCATATACATGTTTCTATGAATTTATTATGTATCATATTAATTCATCAGGCCTTTTGGTAACTTCTTTGCTCAAAACTATTTTACTTTTAGCTACAAACAAAGTTATAACATTTCAAATAAATAGAACATTTCACACTGTTTGTTTCTGTTTTTTTTACACTAAACATTTGACTTGTCTTTTTTATTTCACTTTTTGCAGTTTCAGTCAATTGTTCTTGCAAAGACAGACCTTACACTTCTCACAGTATGCATGTGAGAAGTAATTGCAATGTTCTTTTGCCCTTTAGGACTCCCATGTCTATCATTTTGTTTTGACAAATGTAGTACAAAAAGTCCAAATGCAAGGCTAGTCAAGGTGCTATAATCATTTAGAGAGGGAAAATTAAACTGAGAAATTTTTTTCTGGTAGTATGAGATGCATTTCTTTGCGACGTAACATGCTTAATGTAATTATACCTTTTACTACTTCATGCTATTTCAGTTGTGTTCAGAACTGTGAAACTGTATTTTTAGAAGCATATTGATATCTTTATGAAAAAATATCTTTAATTTACTGATGGAAATATTTTCCACATTTTATCACTTGCCTCTTATAAAATATAGTTGGATTGAAGGGGGGCTCGCAAAAGTTGAAGCCGCATACCCATCAGTAAATGTGCAGTTGCGCCCCTGGCCCACCCTGTATGTCTACGACTATCTAAGAAATTGGAATGGAAATAGATTGAGTCACCTCCACCAAAAAATGTTGTGCATTTTTGAAATGCTTTAATTTTTAATGGCTAAAAACATGTATGTAAACCAATAATGTTGCCTTTTTAAGTCCATCTCAGCAAATTATTTATAATTTTTATTCAATATAATTTTTTTGTTTGCAAAACTCTTTTATTTTACAAGTATATATGGCCCTAGATTGACTATAAATTGATTAATTAAATTCGCATTCATTGTGTAAAACGCATAGTTGGCGGTTCATTCCGCTGTGGCGGTCCCTGATGGATAAGGGATTAAGCCAAAGGAAAATGAATGAATGAAAACAGCTTATAGACTGCACTGCAGCATACGCAATACACTTAAATGTTTGCTGTTTGGTTAAACGACTTATTTCAAATGAGCTGAAACAACACAATTGATAAAGTTTCTGGCAACAGTTTAATTGTTTTATTTATCAATCCACATCCATTTGTAAAAACTAAAATGTTAACTTAATTCCACCATGTTCCCCCAACACAAATCGATTGTGTGGGACTCTATAGGAAGTGCACTGTTATTGAACACTGAACATGTGTCATACCTATTCCTGTGGCTCTCTGCTCCTGGTATTTGCTGATGTCGACGTGTAGACTAGCGCCGAAGAAATCCAGCGTGGCTTTTAACCTCTGGTGCATGGACACCATCTCGTTCTTCTGCTTTGACAGTGTGCCGTTATGTCTGAGGAGACTCATGCTGGAACACAGATCATTTACACAGGGCTTGCTTGAATTTTAATCGACTTTTTCCAAGGTTTATGAAAGTTTAGCGTTTAGATAGAGTGTTTGAAAGTGTAACTCTTAACAAACACTTTGAAAAACACTTTGATTGACATTCTCCCTTTGTACGAGTCATCAGAGGGGAAAGCCCCGCCGACTAGGGATCATCTCTCCTTCATTAGCATTATGAGGCAGCCCTGAGTGAGAAGCAGCCATCATTTAGTCATTAGAGTGATGGATCTTCTAAAGAAACTGTCAGCATAGACCAGGGTTTTTCAAAGTCTAAGACAGTGGGCCTCCCTTTTGACACAACTTATCCATTGGCGCCCCCCTCCTCCCAAATACGCACGCACGCACACACACACACACACACATATATATATATATATATATATATATATATATATATATATATATATATATTTATATTTATATATACAGTATATATAAAGACACAGACAGATGTCAGACTGTTAACTCACTTTTATCATCATTTGCATGAAAGTGCAATTATTTACAGAGGAATAACAAGTATTTTAATATAACGTTTTTAAAACTAGGATGATGGTTCAATATGAATAGAACAGAACCAAGAACTGTCCATCCCAATCAAAACAGTGGAAGTTTAGTGGGTCTCATGCTGTCAAAATATCTTGACAAACCACACATAAAGGTCGTGGTTCATCAGCTGGTCCTGTCCACATAAATCCTAAACTCAAATACTGATCATCATATCGTCGTCTTTTGGGTTTAAGCCCTGAACTTGAAGGCTTTTGTGGTGAGGGGGCGTGGCCGAGCGCCGTGGGAACGGAGTGAGGCCACCGCGTAAGTGGAAACACCTGCGGTGCGCACCTGCCTCAGATCCCACGGAAGGAGCTCTGGATCATAAAAGGAGGAACGAGGGCAGAGGAAGCCGAGAGAGGACCGGACCCGGACATATTTTACTTTTGCTTTCAGTTTGACGGCAGTCTCCGTGAGGAGCTGCCGTCCGTTTGTTTTGGTTTAGACGGAGCTGCCGTCACTGTCATTAATAAATCACTTTAAAACTGCTTCGGTTCTCCGCCTCCTTTTTCCCGGCGGCCAAAGGGCTGTGAACTTCATTACAGCTTTGAATCGGGGGGTCTCAGAAACCGACCCATTGTATTAGCAGGCATATACCTGTATTGGCGGGCTTGCCAAACAGAAGCGAATTCACAGCTATGGCCTTCTGGGTAAAAAAGGTTTTCTTATATTTGAAGTATAATTTTTTTTGCTTTGTTAATTAAAACGTTTAAATATAATAAAAAATACATATAATAATTAAACTTAATAATTATATTTTTATTATATTATTTTTTTCCCCGCGCCTCCCCTGACATGCTCTGGCGCCCCCCAGGGGAGGCGCGCCTCACACTTTGAAAACCCCTGGCAGAGGGGGATTATAGATGTGTTAGTGAAGCACAAATGAAGTGACAGGAGTCTCCATATACTGACACATTGTCACGCACTGACACACACATTTTCATACAGATAACATTAGTGCTGTTTTTGAATCTGCCACTATGCTGACACACATTTGTAGCTCCGCCTTTTTTTGAAAAGAGCACAAACTCATTTAAATTTAAAGCGACAGTCACCAAAACAGCACAATTAGGATCAAAGCCTAATGCTGCGTTCACACCAGACGCGGATAAAGCATCAAGTGCAAGTGATTTACATGTTAAGTCAATGCAAAGACACAAATAGACATCTTGCGGCGCGTTTTGAGGGAATGAGGCAGCATGAAAGACGCGATTCGCGCGAATGAAGCAGCGCTAGTTGAGTGTTTTGCGCGTTTGATGCACTTAATGCGCGTATCACACAAACCGCTCTAGTTGGAAAGTCTGAGCTCCAGCTGACATTCGTGCCACGTTAACCAATCAGGAGCTTTCTTTTGTAGGGCTATGATTATGACGTAGGGCCTGTTGTTGGCGTCCCGAGGGAAAATCCTCTTGCCGACACCGGACAACAGTTCATCGAACAGGGCTTGGTCGGAAGCACCGCTGAAAGCCTCCATAATCCAGGTATAGTTTCTGGAGGAGTTGATGAACTAACAGAGCTGCTGCATCTCTGAATGGATCTAGTGGACTCAGACACGAATCTACGCCTTTTTTCAGCCTTCGTTAAAGCACATAAACACAGCTACTCTCTCAATAAAATCTATGCTAGCCATTTAGCAACAAACCTAGAGTCACTAGGCAGACAGAAGCCCTGCCCATGATGCGAATCCACGTCTAATGTGGAGCGAATTTGACACGCAAATGAAGCGAGTAAACTCAAAATGTTCACGCATCTATTTCTGTCTGGGGTCCGTACGTGGATTACTCAATTAGCTGGATTTGGTTTTTGACGATTTGACACGATCCAGGATCGTTTTGTTCTTTAAAGCTCATCCGAGAGTTGTTGCCATAGCAACAGTTCTGGTAGCTCAAACCTGCGAGGGAGCAGGCTCATTTCATATAAACAGGATTAAATCAGGTCAGTTCAAGCAAAGATAATACTGAAAGTTGACTGAATTCTGATATTTTCTTACAGTAGTAGTTATACTGTATACACTTGGGAAAATAGTAAATAATTTTTTTTAAACTATATATATATATATATATATATATATATATATATATATATATATATATATATATATATATATATGTATGTATATGTATATATATATGTATGTATATGTATATATATATGTATATGTTTGTATATGTATATATATATATATGTACATGTATATATATATATATGTATATATATATGTATATGTATATATATATATATATACATGTATATATATATATGTGTATATATATATATGTATATATATATATATATGTGTGTGTATATATATATATATATATATATATATGTATATGTATATATATGTATATGTATATATATGTATATGTATATATGTATATATATATATATATATATATATATATTTATGTATATATATATATATATATATATATGTATATGTATATATGTAAATGTATATATGTATATATGTATATGTATATATGTATATATATATGTATATATATATGTATATATATATGTATATATATATATATGTATATATATATATATATATATATATATGTATATATGTGTGTGTGTGTATATATATATATATATATGTATATGTATGTATATAATATATATATATCTGTTTGAAGAACCAAATTAGCCAGAGATCAGTTATCAAGATGAAAAGATCCATCTAAGCTAAATCATCTTAGATCATCTAAGATCATCTAAGCGAGGTACGAAGAACGGACGCCTGGTGTGAACACAGCATATAGGGTCAGTTTCAGAGAGTTCTAAAACATTATTTGAGTAGAATTTTGAGCAGAAACTTCACATACACACATCAGATACTTTTTTTTTTACATTTTCTGAAAAGGGGCATAATAGGTTCCCTAAAATAAAATCAATTTCTTAGTGCGTGTGCCTGTAGCTTGATCTACCTTTTTTTTTTAATCTGCACCCTTATTAACAGTTGGAGAAGACAAAATGCATGGAGAATATCACTTTAGTGAACAATGCATGGAATGAAAATGTACTATACTATAAAATACCATAACAAACAGCATGTGACTGAAGTATGTATATTCAGTTAAATTCAGCTTTATTTGTATGGCGCTTTTACAATGTAGATTGTGTCAAAGCAGCTTGACATAGAAGATTATAGCGAATTAAAGCAGAGTAGTTCACTTTTCAGTGTTTAAGTTCAGTTCAGTTTAGCTCAGTTCAGTGTGGTTTACTACTGAGAGTCCAAACACTGAAGAGCAAATCCAGTATATGTATGTGAATATGTAATAAACCACACTTAAAATGCACATGGAAAGTGCTTAAACTTGACTTTGTAAAAGGTGTAAGTACCCTGTTTAAATTAGTGTGTTTCCTACTCACATGGCTACTTTCTGGCCTTGCTGCAGCCTCTGCCAGTCTTCTTTCAGCGCTCGTATGGTGTGCCACGCTTGACCCCACGTGCGTCTCTGAGAGCTGTAGGGCAGAGGACGTTTGGGCTCATTTTCTGCAGCACAAAAACAGTAGTTTAGAGACCTTTAAAAAACGCTGGGTTGTATTAACCCACTAATAATTATGTTTACAGTTAAAAAATTTAATCTAATTTAAATTAGGTCTGGGCGCTATGACACCATATCACCACAAGTCATTTCATAACCGGATTATGATATATATTTACGGTTACTTTACGGTTCTCACTTCAAAATGGAATAAAAGTAGGATTCTGTAGTGATTCTTCCGCATCATCCCTGTCTTTGAGGCGCTGAACTCTGCATCAGAGCGCGAGAGACGGAGATGCCGTGTTTATTCCGCTCCGCGCTGAGCTAGTGTTCTTTTTTTTTTTTTTTAATCAAACGTCTTTATGTTGTGCGACACAACGAATCGATAATGCAGTTCGTTGCCAATGCTTTTAATAATCGATTTTTAACGATTTAATCGATTCGTTGTTGCAGCCCTAGTATTAATAGAATACTTGATCTCACGAACCATTAGACTCGCAAAATCCTGGAGGGACTTATTTATGTTTGTGTCAAAGCAACACCTCAGTGTTTACTTTATGAGTGAGTCTGTTGTTGAACCAATCATTTGAGTCAGTTATTCAATAATCCAATTCATAAAAATGAATCAGTAAATGAAATGAATGAATCGCCCTTAAAATGAATCAATTTAATGAATAATGAACCAAATGAATCAGATGACTGAATGAATCATCCGGATGAATGAACTTTGTGCAATGTACTGTACATTTTTGTATCTTGTTCACTTTCTTTTAAATATATAAATCGATTAAAGGTATCAAATATTACTTTTATTTGAAAAAAAAAAATGTTCTGTGAATTGACCAGTGCAAATATAAAAAGATTCACAAGTCACATTTTGCAACAATCATCTAGTCATCATCATTAGCAAAAATGCCAGAAAACAGTCAGTATTGCACGCCACCAAAGACCAGAAACTTACGAACGAATCGGATGTTCTCAGGGAGGACGCGCGGCGTAAACTGAGGCTCGTAGCTGCAGCACGAACGGTCAAACAGGAAAACCAGTGGCTCATCTGCTCGCCGATTGTCCATCAACTAAAAGAATAAAACAAAAACAAAGTCAGACAAGACTGAATGCACATAATCTGCCTGAATAGGCCCTTATCACAAGACAGTTATGACGCGTTTAATGGTCATCTGCATCTTAAAGTCCACATGAACCGGAAGCTGCGACCGTTTTTTACTATTGTGACGCAGCTCCTAGAGAAATGGAATATTAAATGAGAAAACAGTGGGTGTGGCTAATTTTTTTCTACTGCGAGCTGATTGGATGTAGTAAAGTAAGTAGGCATTTTATTTAGAAAGGTGTTATTACAACCTAACAGACTCCTCCTCACCATTTCTGTTTGTTGTTAAAGCAACAGCTAGAGAGGCGTGGTTAATTATGTTAGCCACACCCACTACCTCAGCCAGACGTAATCTGAGAATTGAACTGAAAACAAACAAGAAGTGCATTTTCAGATTTCAATTAAAGATTAGAAGGGCAAACTATACTTTGTTCGTAATGACATGCACGCATAAATTGTTCACCACAAAACCAGCAAAGTGAATTCTACTGCTGAGAAACCCGTAAATGTGAAAAGGGTCCATTTAAAACAAATTAGCATTAGCTTTAAACGTACACTATAATCGATGGCACACTGCATGACGCTGTTTTGCGGCTCAAGTGCAAGTCCCGCCTCCAGCAGCAGCTCCTGATTGGCTGGAGGAATGCCAGTGTCTTGTGCGATTCGCTCCTGCAGGGAAGCCACGTCGTCCTCCGGCTGCACTGAGTAGTTGAATATTTCAGCAGAGGTCATGTTAAGCACATGGACGAGCTGAGGAGAGAAACAACATGACATGTGACTTATGGCAAGAGTGATATGAGCAGTGATTCAGTATATGACTCTGTATGAGTAACCCTGATAATGCTTGGGTTTCTACTGCCAATAATGCTGATGATACACTGGTCAACTTTTTGAGCAATGTTGCCGGGCAACTTTGGGAAATGATGACATCAAATGTGATGCATATACAATATTGTTGCAGCCAGGCACAATATTGCCCAGCAACAACGCTTAAATAATTGCCGTGTAACATCACGCCTCATATTTTCCACGCAACATATGAACACCCATGGCTCATATAATTGTATTAATACTTTGTCTTGTTTCAGCTGTTTAAACTTATTTCAAAATGGTGCTTCCTATTATGTAATTCACCTTATAGAACATTGAAGTGACGATTCTCTATCAATCAGCTAAACCAATCAGCATTCAGTAAGTAGCATCTGCAGTAAGTCTTTCGGTACTGGGCTAGGTTAAAGTGCCATTTTACTCGGCGACCATTTTTGAAACTCCTCTAAATTTTCCAAATATACTTGCCCAGCTTATGATTGAATTTCATATTAGGAATCACCAATAAAATTTAACAACAACTGTCTATTTAGTTTTTCATTCATTCATTCATTCATCTTCTGCCGCTTTTCCGGGGCCGGGTCGCGGGGGCAGCAGTCTTAGGAGAGAACCCCAGACTTCCCTATCCCCAGACACTTCCTCCAGCTCCTCTGGGGGGATCCCGAGGCGTTCCCAGGCCAGCCGAGAGACATAGTCCCTCCAGCGTGTCCTGGGTCTTCCCCGAGGCCGCCTCCCGGTGGGACATGCCTGGAACACCTCCCTAGGTAGGCGTACCAAAACAGATGCCCGAGCTCCTCCCGGGTGTCAGAGCTCCTCACCCTATCCATCAGAGTGCGCCCTGCCACCCTTCGAGGGAAACTAATTTCGGCCGCTTGTATTCGAGATCTTGTCCTTTCGGTCATGATCCAAACTCATGACCATAGGTGAGAGTAGGAAGGTAGTTTGACAGGTAAATCAAGAGCTTTGTCTTTCAACTCAGCTCCTTCTTCACCACAATGGACCGGTACATCGACATTACTGCTGCCGCTGCACCAATCTGCCTGTCAATCTCACGTTCCATCCTTCCCTCACTTGTGAACAAAACGAGATACTTGAACTCCTCCACCTGGGGCAAGGACTTTCCTCCAACCTGGAGTTGGCAAACCACCTTTTTCCGGTGAAGCACCATGGCCTCGGACTTGGAGGTGCTGATTCTCATCCCAGCCACGTCACACTCGGCAGCAAACCGCCCCAGTGCATGCTGAAGGTCCATGTCTGATGAAGCCAACAGAACAACATCATCTGCGAATAACAGAGATGAAATCCTGTGTTCCCCAAACCGGACCCCCTCCAGCCCAAGGCTGCGTCTTGAAATTCTGTCCATAAACTAAACATGTCTATTTAGTTTCATTTATAAATACTCGACTCACTTCTGGTCCAAGCCCCTCCCCCAGAGTTTTGTCAGTCTATAGTAGGGCTATTCAATTAGTTTGTCTTGGGGGCCATTTCATGAAAAGCATCCCAAACGAAGGGCCGGAGAGATACGACTTGCTATATGAGTGATGATACAACTACATATAAGAGCCCATATGCTGTATTTTTGCTCCTTATGACACCCACGTTGGCCTTTTTCTACAATAAAATGTTAATATATTGTATTTTGAAACTACATAACATCACTGTATTGTACAATGGACTTTTTTATTATTATTATTTTTTATTTAGTATTTTGTTATTATGTATAATGTAAATTCAAGCTTTATATTAGGTAAGTAGCTATTTAAATACTGTGGCAAATTAAAGCGCACTTAATAGTGAAATCGGCTAATCGTTGCATCCCTAATAATGATATCAGTGCATTGTACAAAAGGCCTTTTCTACAAACATATCTAAATGCTGCCTGCGCCACTCGCTTAATGTCAGGTGACTCGCTCTCTGCGCAGCCTCTGCAGCTTGTGCTATATTGAACAGACGCACTTCACTTCATAACTACAGTGGCAGCTTTTCGACTGAACTAAATTTATTTTGATGTCTTGGTCACACTGTTTGAAGAGCCGGAACAAATTGCCTCGGGGGCCAGGTTCGGCTCGCAGGCCGCCAATTGTATAGCCCTGTTTTATAGCGATTGGTGATTGGCTCTTGTACTAGAAGGCGGGCTTTATTTACCATATAGCGATCAACGATTGGCTCCTGTACTAGAAGGTGGGCTTTATTAGCCACATTGATCGTTTCTCTTTTCCCCCATTTAAAACAATAGTGACATGTCTTGCGTAGTCTATAGTCTTTGGCTAGTTAGCCTTATGAATGGGTCCAAAAATGTGGTATGTGAATGTTTAGGATGCACAAAAATACAAATTCTGGACCAAAATTAAAAATTCTGTATGCATTTGGGTGAAAATTGAAACCAAAAATTGTTTGAAACAATGATTTATTATTTTATTAATAGAATTTTGTATGACTTATTCTGATTCCAAAAAAAAAACACAGGCAAATAAATAACCCCATCTTGCTGACAGTAAACAAGTCGAGAGGAATCATTTTACCGGTGTTGCCTTGACAGCAGGAACAAGTATACTACAAGTTAATGTCCTGTCGGCGTGTTATTTGAGTAGACTTTGCTTATTTGGTGAACATGTGCAATTCACAAATTAATAAGTTCGTAAGTAGAACAGCATAGAAAACCTTAAACTATACAATGCGTGAACATAAGCAGACTATCCATAGAGCAGTATATAGAGCTATTTTCTTTGACCGTCAGCAAGTGCTCCACTACTCTTGCTCATTGATTGATGCAGCAAAAAGATCTGCCTTTGCATGGTGCATTGAAATGAATTGGTTTCATAGCACAGTGCTTTCCACATCAGGTGTGAAAGCTACTTCACGACTATGGTGCAGCATAACCTTTTTTTTAACTCATATTTTTTTTGCCCATATTTCTAAAATGCCATTACAGCCGTTAATTTTGGCCGTCAAAAATTTTGGCAGGTCCCTAGTACAGTTTGCTATTTTAATACCATTCACAACTGACAGTGGTATTGAAAATAATTGCATACTGCACAGTACTAAACGACATTGCTCAGTGTGAACGAGCCAATATTTTTATGCGACTTGCTGATCATACTATTGAACTTCAGCCTACCTTTAGATTGAGAATGTGGCTTAATTCATCAAAGCAGAAGCAGGGGGCTTTTGGAGCATCTTTGGCACCCTCTGGACTGGTTTCTTTACTCTCCTCTTCTGCATCTTTGGGCGTCTCCTGACTCTCTTTGTTGCGCTGTTTTAAGTCTTTTCCTCGCTCTTTAGGTGACCATCTCAGCATCATCTGCAGCCAGCGCTCCAGCTCACCAGCTAACAGTCTGAAACGCATCTTTATAGCTTAAAGTTCAACCTAAAAAACTGTGATCACTCTATTTACTGGTTTAATAATCTTGTGATGGCTGCACAATTTGGTGGAAAAAAATGTACAATAAGGGTGTATTAGTCAATGCATTTACTAACATGAACAAGCAATGAACAAAACATTTATTACGTTATTCGTCCATGTTAGTTAATGAAATACAGTTGTTTATTGTTAGTTCATGTTAACTCATGGTGCATTAACTAGGCTTAACAAGCAGGAATTTGGGTTTTAATAATGCGTTAGTAAATGTTAAGCTATGATTAATAAATGCTGTACAAATATTGTTCATAATTAGTTCATGTTAGTAAATACATTTATCTAATGAATCCATATTGTAAAGGTTGACCAAAAAAAGGAAGTTTCTTGTTTTTCTGATCTTTTTTGTGTTATTGCAATAAAAAAAAATAAAACTTTGCGATGCTTTGCTGTTTGGCCTGCAATCATTGGACAGAGGCTATTCATAAAACATCATTCTAACAAGTATTAGTATTTTACCAAATTATTCATCAATTTATTTTATTTTCAGCTTAGTCCCTTATTAATCTGGGGTCGCCACAGCGGAATGAACTGCTAACATATCCAGCAGATGCCCTTCCAGTCGCAGGCCAGGACTGGGAAACACCAAACACTCTACACAGTGGCACAGTGCGTAGCACGTTAGCTTCACTGCAAGAAGGTCACTAATTCGAGCCTTGCCTAGGTCAGTTGGCGTTTTTTGTGTAGTTTGCATGTTCTCCACATGTTTGAATTGGTTTCTTCCGGGTGCTCCGGTTTCCCCTGTAAGTCCAAAGACATGCGGTACAGGTGAATTGGGTAGGCTAAATTGTCCGTAGCGCGCGTGTGTGTGTGTGTGTGTGTGTGTGTGTGTGTGTGTGTGAATGGGTGTGTATGAACGTTTCCCAGTGATGGGTTGCAGCTGGAGGGGTATAAAACATTTGCTGGATAAGTTGGCGGTTCATTCCTCTGTGGCAACCCCAGATTAAAAAAAACGGACTAAGCCAAAAAGAAAATGAATGAATGAATATTATTAACAAAAAATAATTAGTAATTATTATTTATAATTAGTATTACAAATAAATTAAACCAAATAAAAATGAATAAAAACTAACAAATTAAGGAAACTTTATTTAACTGTAAAAATAGTATTTAAGAATAAATGTAACCATTTTGTTGTACAGCACAAATGTAAAATAATGTTTTATTAAATTGTATTTTATTTATAGCGGTCTGTATTTTCAAACTTTACACCACATAGAGCTCTTTTTTTTTAAAACTCAAACAGTAAAATGTATTATTATTATAAGATATAACAATTATTAATTATTATTAATAAATAAAATCATATAAAAACGAACAAAAAATAATAAACTAAGGAAACTTTAACTGTAAAAATTGTATTTAATTTTATTTTAAATATATATAATTTTTTACAGCACAAATGTAAAAAAAAATTTCTTATTTTTTTATAGCGGTCTTAATTTTCAAACTACACCACTTTTGGTTTAAAAAAGAGCATTAGCAATACAAATTATTGTTTATATTGTTGTTGTTGTAATTATTAACATTTTTATTGTTATTATTATTTTGTTTTTTTTGAAAAAGTCACATGTTGAGAGTCAAAACATCAATATAACAAAAAAGTAACAATATTAGTATTTTATTTGACTATTATTAATAAACAAAAATAATAATAGTAATAATAATAACAATAATAATAATATTAACAATAATAATAATAACAATGATAATAATAATAATAATTATTATTATTATATAATTATAAATTATTACTTATAAATAAAGCCAACTTAAAATAATTAAATAAATTTATAAAAAGAAAAATATATAATTATGTCGTACAGAGTAAATGTAACAAAAAAAAAATTATAACTGGCTTCATTTTCAGTTACACATTATAAAAAAAGAGCATTATCAATGCAATATATTACTATTATTATTATTAATAATTCATTTTCTTCCGCTTTTCACAGATGAGACTTCCCTCTCATTAGACACTACTTCCAGCTCCTCCGGGGGGATACCAAGGCGTTCCCAGGTCAGCCGACAGACATAGTCCCTCCAGCTTGTCCTGGGTCTTCCCCGAGGCCTCCTCCTGGTGGGTCATGCCTGGAACACCTTCTTAGGTAGGTGTCCAGAAGGCATCTGAAACAGATGCCCGAGCCACCTCACTGAAATCTCTGGATGTGGAGGAGCTACTTATCATCCAGAGAACTACTCCGAGCTCCTCACCCTATCTATAAGGGTGAGCACTGCCACTTTGAGAAAGAAACTCATTTTGGCTGATTGTTTCCGAGATCTTATCCTTTTAGTCATGACCTAAAGCTCATGACCATAGGTGAGAGTAGGAAGGTAGACTGATCGGTAAATCAAGAGCTTTGCCTTTCGCTTGTTGTTGTTATTATTATTATTATTATTATCCTCATCATCATCATCAACATCAAATCTTATATTTATTTATACATTTTTTGGGGGAAAACTCACTTGTTGAGGTTATGAGGGTTTGGTAGGTGTTTAGAGTATCGAACCTCTCCACCCAGATCCTCATAAACCACAATATCATCCACATGTTTCTGCTGGAGTTTGCTGTGCCTAAAGGAAAAAAAGAGCAACGTGAGTTCAAATGAAGCTGGGGTTGTTTTCACACACACCCTTGAGCACCGGCGTCAGTCTTGATTTTTCTTTCATTCTCAGAGGATATATTTTAAAAACAGTTTGTGTGTTGACAATACTGGAGAACGGCCAATCACAGTACAGAGATCTCTCTGCAATAACACACTGCTGTGAGGGGATTATTATCTTTACGCAAGCATAAGAAGTTACAACAATAGTGCTTTATCATGAGTTATCAAGGTTTTTTCTGCATGGGGAACAGGATCTGTACCTCACACTGACAGGTCATGGCTTAAATTGTGTGATTGTGGTTATGTTTTGCTTTTTTTTCTGATGAATTCAACAGGTAACACTGTTATTCTGAATTTATACTGGCACTATTGTCAGCGATAAGAAAAAGGAAGTTGTTTTTTAATTAATTATTTTAGAAATGCTGTAATTTCCTCACTTTTACACGTCATAATCAAAGACATGTTTTGGAGCAGGATTTGAGGCCAAAAATGTATTCAGCTTAACATCCAAAACAAGCTGAAACTAAGATTCCCACAGTCTTGAAAATCCAAGGTATTGACCTTATTCTAAAATGTGGAAGTGCGCCTGTTTTTGCGATTGTTTTAGAACTTCCGATTCAGTCGCCTATGAGAAAAATGACTAGGAATAATAAACGGCAGAAAACAGTCAAACTACTTGCTCTACAAACAAATGTTTGCATGACTATACAGACTAAGTAGAATAATATAATAAGAAAATATCAGTTTGCAACATCAAACAGCGAAACGAGCAGTTTTTAATGTCTAAAAATGAATGGAAGTGTATGAGACCGGAAGACTTGAGCCAAAAAGACTGAAATGGCTGCGCCCGCTCGTCAGCAAAGAATAAGGTGAATATTAAAAAGTCTCTATGAATTTTAGACATGGAAAACCATGGAAATGAATTGTTTTTTAAAAAGACATGAGGATTTCTATATCAAATGCTTATTGTTTCTAGATATCCCAAAAATGTTTAATCAGGCAGTGTATGTTTATTTATTTATTTTTTAACTATAATGCAAAACCATTATTCAGCAAAATATAGACCTTTTTCTTGGAACGCAAAATTAGCCATGATGCTTTGCGTGTATGCGCAAGGAGAATGCGAAGAACTTCCGGTCGGCAGCTGATGCGTGTAAACAGTCACATCTGGACAGCTTTGAAACGATAGTTTTAATCTATTTTACCTGCTTTTATCCTCTTTGAACTAACACTGTTGTCCATCAGCAGCATCTCCTGGACTGATCATTTAAAGAAATGCGATCTAATAGGATGGAAAACAGCTGCTGTGAGGCGTTTTGCCCTCGTTGTCAGACGGCATCTTCTGCAGTTTAAATGAAGCCTCGACATCGATAAAGTCAACATTTTCTCTTTATTTCAAATATATAACCAGCCCAAACTAATGTCATTCACCAAAATGTTTGACACACACACACAGCCTGTACTGTGCCACTGACACACTGATTTAATAACTGTGACAACATGAAAATATAGGCTAGTGTCATTTCGAAATGACAGAAAAACACAAACCGTGGTAAAAACAACACACGAAATAAAACACAAACGGCTCGCGATTAGAATGAACAGCGAATCAGCAGCAGAGGATCAATAACAGACTTTTATTGGTTATTTTTGTAAATTGCACGACTTTCATACCTGTTAAGTTTCATGCCAGTACTCTGGTTTGCTCTCTCTCTCTCTCTCTCTGTGTGTGTGTGTGTGTGTGTGTGTGTGTGTGTGTGTGTGTGTGTGCGCGCGTGTGTTAAAGAGCCGCTGAGCTAACAGCTGACAGGCCGGGAACACACACACACACTGTATTTCTGACGGCAGACACGTGAACTAGGAGAACGTTTTTCTCGTATTTCTGACGCGCTTGAACCACATGTGACAGATTATAACGGCTTTAACAGACACATTTCTAAGTTGTGTGTCACAAAAACACTCTGTTATCCATTAAAAACGTTATTGAAACCCATTTTTGGAGCGCAAATTACCAGTTGTACACGCTGTGAACGGAAGTTTTTAGCATTCCATAGGAAGACGCTGGTCGCTATGGCGCCCTCCATACAGCAGCCATGAAAAAGGTCTATAAACAACTGGAAAAGTAATTAATTGGTTTAAAAGAGTCAGAACCTTGAAGTAAGGTTAGGCAATGTCTTCCAATTTGGCATTGTACGTTGTCTAATGTGAAACATCGCAATGGACGATGATATCATCGACATAGGCGGCAGTCAATTAATTATTTATGAATAATTAATTAATTCATAACAAATTAATTATTTGTTGCCTACCGTTTCAACAACCTGACCCGCATGGTCTTTGTTTTATCCCTATCCAAATCATAAATAAATAGAGTTAGAGTAAGTTACACAAAAATTACCACCTGTCAATCACTTTTTCCGCGGAACTCAGGCATGAATAGTGGGATCAGCAGAGTGATCTGTGTCATTATAATGGCCACAAACTTGGTTGGTAAAAAAGGTGCACAACCAACTGCAACCAACCAACAGTATCTGAGGATTTTACTATAAATACTAAGTACAAGCGTGAAATATAAAAATGTATATACTGCATAAATAATTCATATTTATGCAGTACTTAACATTCATTTTCCACATTGAAAACATTTTTGTAAAAATTTTTTTTGTATGTTTAAACTATTGCAGTATTTCCAGGAAAAATAGAGACTCTGCCATTCAAAAACCATAGATATATACATTAGATGTCGCCTACCCTGTTGTTGTCTATTGGAAGGAATGCGTCAATAGAGCCGCCATGTTGGAACAGGGTAGCGCTCCTTTGAAATGAATGCGGGATCAAGGTACAGTGGAGGACTGTGGCCATCCAAAGCCAGAGATATACACATATACACATATATCTATGATCGGGAGTTTTCCTGGATGTTAGTACGCAAATTTTTTTTTTATGCTACGAAAATTATAATTTTACATCACTTTTCTACATTGATGAATCAGTGGTCGCACGGGCATTCCTGACAAAAAGCTTGTGTTTGTGTGTACAGAAATGTACTATCCACCCTCCCTGTTAAATTTGATCTAATACGTGTCCTGAAACACAACTCCTCTCCTGCTTTCACTTCTCATACTGACGGAGAGAGCGATTCGTTTGTGAACGAATCTCCGTTATGAACAACTCCTTCACTAGCCGACAATAATAAAGTTTCTGGCAGTGCAGCATCTCGTTGTCATATTTCTTTTGCATTGTTTGCTGATTTTATTCAACAAAACTAACATAAGCCGAGTGTTTAGTGCGAGTTGGTGCTACTTTGCCGTATGGTGAATGCAGTAAGTGACTGTATTATCATCAATAACGTTACCTGATTAGCACAAAAGTTCAGAACATACAAAAACAGAAAAAAACTTAATATTACCTATGAAATGTTCTGCCTTTGTGCTTTGTTTTCTTTGTTTGCTCGTTACTACACCCGTAGACAGCGCTAAAGTCCCGCATCTTCACGTAATAACACTGTCTTGACTAGTGCGGCTGAATGACACTTGTCCTGGGAGCACTGTACCAATGTGGCGGCGCTATTGACGCATGCTCAGGGTCCCTATGCGATATCTAGTGTATATATCTATGTTCAAAAACAAGGGGCAGATTAGCACCATCGTTTTGCCCCATTTCTTTTTCTATGATAGTCATTTTTGACCGCAAAGACCACAAGTGTGACTACTTTTTATTAACAACAATTTAGCATGCTTGACTAAATTACTAACAAGCTAGCCTGTCCAGATGATGAAACGTATTCAAAAGTAATTTAACAATAACTTTCCTTTAATAAATGAGTCCCGCATTTAGTTGACTCAGATTGTACTTTGTAAAAATATCCATTAACAGTTTCCATATTTAGTTTATTTCCGGTGGTGAATTGCATTATGGGATGTTGATCTCTGCTTTGTTAAACTGTAGAGTTTTCAACATCAAAAGTTGTCAAAGTAACTTTTATTATTTTATGTTTATTATCATTTTAGTAGTTAAAACAATATTTTAGGAAACAATAAATATAGAAAAACACCTGCAATAAAGGAGAAAGTCCTGGCAGTTTATTACCAGACTGTTGTACCATACTTTACAACACCAACACAGCTAATATATCACTTTAAACTACTAAAATGTCCTTAAAAGTCACTTTTTCAAACTTTTCAACATCAAAATTCAAGATCAAATTCTGATTATGCAATTTCAAAGCATAAATAAATAAAACGTATCACAAATATGAATCGCAAAATACGTAAAACTGTTAATTTACTAATATTTTGTTAAAGTAACCTTCCCCAACACTGTAAATACCATTGAACGGGTTGCCAGGTTGGTAGAAAAGGCCTGAATCCTGTGATGCACTCAAAAACCAGTGTCCCGAAACTCCAGTAATCCACAGCCACAGTGTACTTCTGCTGCTCCAACAGCTCCGGGGCCTGACACACACACACACACACACACACACACACACACACACACACACACACACACACACACACACACACACACACACACACACACAAAATTAAACATTTCATATCGCTACAGATAAGACCATATTGCATAAATCCACTGATTCACTCACCAAATACTGCAGTGTCCCTACAAACGATGTGCACAGGCTGCTCTGGTCCAGCTCTTTGGCGTAACCCAGATCTATGATCTTATGAACCAACTTCAAGAAAAGAAGATGCAGGAAACATTAATGCTTCTTTAATTTATTAACAGAGTTTCAGATACTGTATTAGTAGTGTAAAACAAAGCTTTCCGAAGCTTCGAAACAATTGCTTTGACGAAAATGATTCACAAACGTTTCGAAGCATTCATTCTAGAGACACCTGACTTCACTGACTAAATCTTTCTAAATCTTTCTGAAAATGTTCAAGGGAGCGTTTGAAAGCATCGTCAATCAACGGATATGTCATTACTCATCGCTCATATATATGCATGGTTCAGTGTATAGATGTAGTTTTAGTCTACTTTCCTGTTTGTGTTAAGACAGGATGAAGTGAGTGCATCGAAGACCATTCTGGCCAATCACAGACATTTCTGTTGAGCTCCTGAACAAAACAGCCAATCAGTTCATGACCTGCTCTCACATTGGCTGCAGCTCATCACTACATCTGAGTTAAGTCAGCCAGCTGGTTTGGAATATTTACAACCCGGGCTCATTGTGGAAACGTAGCCCCGCGGACGTTTCTGCGGACCGCGAGATACGTCCCGGAAGGTACTTATTCAAGCGGTTTTTGTTTTCGCGGATCCGCGAGAGGCCGCTGTGCGCGCTTTTTTGCATTCCGGGCCCCTCTCGGGAGCGTGCGCCGTTCGCGCCCGCGCTGTTCTCGCGCGAAAAGCCGCCAGATCGGCCAACCCGGCCGCCCTCCTCTTCCTACTCCTCCTCCTTCCCTAAACCCAAGCGACGGTTTGCAAAAGCAGTCCAGAAAAAAAAAAAAAAGCAAAAGCCCTCGTCTTCGATTTCGACCGCGTTTTCGGATCCCGCCGCGTTCTCGCTCTTATTTTTTGGATTCTGTTTTTCATCTTACTTGATTTCTGGAATCGCTGTTCCCCGGACTCGATCCCGGTCGTCGTCCTCGAGGCCGGCTCCTCCTCCTCCGGGGCCTCTGCTCCGCCGACGCAACGCTGTGAGCTAAGCAGATAAACTGGTTGCATCGGGAAAGCCCTCCACTCGGAAGCGAGCCGTCGGCCGGCGAGCGCGAAGAGGAGGAGCGGAGCGGCGCCACACCGCCCCGCAGCGTTCGCTCGAAAAAAACTAAACGCGGCCGTACGTACGTCCGCGGTCTCCAGAAACATCAGCGGGGCTACGTTTCCAGAATGAGCTTGGGTTGAATATTTAGGATGCCAGATATTGGATTTTTTTTATGCGACGGTGTTGGTGTCAGCGAGTCTCTTTGATGTGTTGACTCATTCAGTAGTTCCCCCCTAAAGACTGCTAAGCACCTGCTGATTTTTTCCAAACACAGTCCAATCTGTAAAATGCTGCAATGTGAATGAGGCAATATAAATGTCTCATTAAAACATCTACAAACATCTCTGAGGTGCTTACGGCAACCCAAGTTTGATTCCCGGCTCAATGTTAAAAGGTTGAGGGGGAAAAACCGAGAAGGGTCTGTCTGCGAACCGCAAGACAGGTGCGTAACTTGTAGTAGAGCCGTAACTTGAAATTATTGTAACCCACATGTCAAAACTATGTTGTTGGCACCAGTGGCGTAGCAGACGGACCTGCAGGGCACGCACCGCGGGGGGGCCCCGCGTGATTAGGGGGCCCCGCGTCATCGCGATTTGAAAATCCGGCATAATAATCAAACCCCTGGGAACAACTGTGGTCGGAACCAAAGTTCACATGACTGTGTTTTCTGAACTCCTCTAAAGCGGTGGACTACTTTACACTGATTGCTTGCCGCCGAATCGCGTCATAGCTCATTACCATAAAGTTGACTTTATTTCAACTCTCCTCGACACCCACACCGGAGAAGATGCGCCGCGCTGCTCCTCGCCGCCGGTTCTCATTGAAAATGAATGACTTCCGTTTATTTTGACGCTCTCGCCGCTTGTTTGTGATCGCTCCTCAGTTTGTGAAGGCTACTCCGCGTCGTCGCTCCACCCCGCCCCCTTTTCCCGCTCCTTAGTTTGTGATTGCTCCTCAGTTTGTGAAGGCTTCCCCGCGTTGTCACCCCAACCCGCCCCCCTTACCCGCTCCTCAATTTGTGAACACTTCCTCGCTCTACCGACTCCCCCCGTCCGCTCAGTTTGTGATCGCTCCATCCCCTTCATCAGGGGGCCCCGTCAGTGATCCCTGCAGGGGGGCCCCCGTATTTTAAGCTACGCCACTGGTTTGCACACCTACTCTACACCTAAACCCAACCATCACAGTTATTAATGTCCACACCTTCCCCAACCATCATAGTTATTAATGTCCAGAGCCTTCCCAAACCTAAACTTAACTAACACAGTTACTAATGTCTACACCCCAACCCTAAACCCAATCATCACAGGTATTAAGGTTTACACCTTCCCCAAATCTAAACCTAACAATCACAGTTATTAACATTCAGCCGCGAGTTATGGAGGCTTTCATATTTGACGTGCCATTGTACTGTTAATTGCAACCACAGGGGGCGACGGCGAGTAGGCTAACTGTCATGAAAAAAAACAGATGAAGAAGTCAGCGAGTAGAGTTCCTTAATGAATGAATATGATAATATATCAAATCATGTTGAATCATGAAAACATTTGACACCTCGCAAGGTTCAATTGGATCTTGATAACTACAAGTCACGCTCCTTTCATGTTACGCCCCTCTATTGCAGTCCGCAGACAGTTACATTTGGAAAAACCATCGACAAACTGATCAGGTAAAAACTATAAAACCTGTTTAGTGATTAGCCATTAGGGGGCGATCTGAGTCAACCTACATGATTTATGTGGATTTTATGGTGTTACACAGATCACCCGTCAGTAGAGAATCATTGATTTTTTTTAACCGTTTCGAAAGTTATAACATAACAAATCCTCGTTTACTAAAATCATGTGACCTTACAACTTTTTTTTAAATACGTGCTCCAAACCACTGATTCAAAACAGGAGATTTGTCAAGTTTTTGAAGCTCCGTGAAGCAGTGTTTCGAATGCAGCCGTCACTAGATTAAATGGTGTTTCATCGCTTTTAAGCTACCAAAGTAATGTAAAACTATTGGGAACACAATTTTCATTGTTATTTATAGTCATCCATCACACACTTCTCATTGCTCACCCTTTTTTCTCCCTGTTGAAGGACGATGTTTTCTGGTTTGAGGTCTCTGTGTATTATTCTCATGCCATGGAGGTACGTCAGCGCTGAGGCTAGAAAGAGATCAAATAATATCATTTTAAATACTCAATTGTTAACTATGTTTTATATATAACAATATATGAAGTATGACTTTAGACATGCTCAACCAGTTCACTTAAGCTTGACATTACACTTTGAAGTTTAACCTAATGTGCTATGCAACATTTATGTTGCCAAAAAGTTAAAGCGAGCATTATTTTTGCACAAAAACAAAGAGTAGTTTTGCTCTACATGTGTTACTGGTTGTGACGGTGGCATCGAATTTACACTTTTTTTTATTTAGGAAGTGAAACTAACTGTAATTTGTTTATGCTGAATTGAAAGGCAGCTATGCAAAGTGTGCACCCTAATTCTACAAAGTGTGAAAGAAAAACTACAGTATAATCATCAATTCATATCCTTCTGCTTTAGTGCGCAACACATTCCCAATAGATTTTTCTTCAACTTTTTCTTTTTCTTCAACTACTTCAGCTTTGATTATTGGTTAGTGCTGAACGATGCTGCGCGTCTGCTATATATATTGTGACAATTACAATTTTACCAGCTGACTTGAATAGCTCGTTTTGCAAAAAGATGAATTGAATTTAGATGGATTGGGGTGATTTTGTAAGGATGTAAATCATGTATAAAAATAATAATCAAATTCAGTTACAGGAATTTTATAATGAGATGTAAAATAATACTGTATAGTCTAATAGTTTTCATTGTATTAATAATTCAGTAAAATTAATCTTCTTTTTTTTTTTTGTGGCAGAATGCTTTAAACTCTCCTGAAATGCCGTTAAAGTGCATACAAATTACAAAGTTTCACTCTGTTATGGTTATACTTTGCAATGACTCCACGAATCTCATGTTTTCTTAATTGTTGATCAACTATAATCCCAACTCAACATTGGAAATCCTTTGATGTGACTATTGCAGACACACACGTTGCGATATCAGGTGTAAAGGATGGTCAACAGTGTATTTACAAATGTGATTACAAAAGTTAATTACAGATGTAATTACATACGAGTATTTAATCAAGCATAAGTACACAATAAATACATGTATTTACAAAATAATACATTGTAACAAACTATTAATTCTTGTGTAAGTACATATTAGTTAAGGCCACTTAGTATAAAGTGATTATATTATATATTAATATAAAGTTATTTTGCCGTTCTGCAGAAGAAATGCAGCACATTTAGATCAACACATGATATACTGTAAATTATGCAAGATTTGACATTTGTTAATCTATCCCAAACACTCTTCTTGAATTGAATTGAACCCTTCTTGACTGCCAGAATAAAATTTCAAGTTCCCACATCATTTTTTCAAAGTCTTCTTAATAATTTCTTAATAATAACATCCTACAGGATCATTGTTTTGACACTCAACCAATATTATAGTAAAGTTAATCTGATTTCCATGTTAACTATCCCCTTAAGAGAGGAAACTGGACCGGATGAGGCTGGTGACTAAATCCAATGATATAACAAATGATTTATGATTTTGTGGTTAATGATTTCACAGGAAAACTCTTGCAGAGCCCTGACTGACGGTGTTTGGCATAGTAACTTGCTTTTATATACAGCAACATGCTTGACCTTCCATTAGATCCGCTTTAAGGTTGATAACTTAGGATCGAGTGTAAACAGAAGATCTACTCATGCAGGATAAGGACCAGCAGACACACTTTACTAAATACCTCTGCAATGACTAAAGGTCAAAGGTCATTTAAGATGCAATGTTTTTTTGTTCAGAGAGTTAGTGTCTCAACAGTGTCTCATACTGCTCAGATTTACCAACACACCAAAGTTTGCAATCATTCATTCATTCATTTTCTTGTCAGCACTAAGCTGACCCTTTATTAATTCAGGGTTGCCACAGCGGAATGAACCGCCAACTTATCCAGTAAGTTTTAACACAGCGGATGCCCTTCCAGTCGCAACCCATCTCTGGGAAACATCCACACACGCATTCACACACAAACTCATACACTACGGACAATTTAGCCTACCCAATTCACCTGTACCGCATGTCTTTGGACTGTGGGGGAAACCAGAGCACCCGGAGGAAACCCATGCGAATGCAGAGAGAACATGCAAACTCCACACAGAAACGCCAACTAAGCCGAGGCTCAAACCAACGACCAAGCGACCTTCTTGCTGTGAAGCGACAGCACTACCTACTGCGCCACTGCTTCGCCAGTTTGCAATCAGAAGTCTTAAAATAAACCTAAATGTCTCTTCAAATAATTTTCTCTGTGCAATGTTTATTTTATTGGTATCATTTTACAGTAAGGATAATCTTAGTTAATTGATTTACTGACATGCGCAAACAATGATGAATACATTTATTACAGTATTTGTTCATGTTTGTTAATGAAAATACAATTATTCATTGTTAGTTTGTGTTAATAAACATTTATTTATTTCACTTTAAACTTCATTTCTATAGGCTATTTTGAGGGATGTAAACAAAAACAATGGTCCCAACAAATTTCCTTTTGTACATTTTTAATTTCTATAACTTCTGTAAATCCAAAAGAGCCACATATTTATAAATAAAGTTATGATAGCTGTTTTAACATCAAGTTATGATTGAATTGCCTCTTGTTTGTTATGAAATACTTTAAAAACAAGCAGGAAATGTTCATGGACCAATGACATGGCCACACTGAAATGTCCATAGTGCTCCTACAATGTAGATTGTGTCAAAGCAGCTTAACATAGATGTTCTAGATGAAACTGCATTAGTTAATTTCACATCTGCAAGACTAAAAATGCTGGAAAAAAATCAATTTGACAGTTTTTTTTACAATTAAAATGAACTGAAGCGTCATCTTTTCTATAATGTACATCATAAACCAGTTAAAATATCTAAATAATATCATGACCCCAAATATCTTGGTTATTTTATAACTAATCAGACGACTTTTACATTCTAAATTCATTCATTTTCTTTTCAGCTTAGTCCCTTTATTTATCTGCCACAGTGGAATGAACCGCCAACTTATGCAGGACAAGCTAGATGCCCTTCCAGCTGCAACCCATCACTGGCAAACACCCATACACTCTCATTCACACAAACACACACTATGGACAATTTTAGCTTACCCAATTCCCCTATAGCACGTCTTTGGACTTTTGGGGGAAACCGGAGCACCCGGAAGAAACCAATGCCAACACGGGGAAAACATGCGAACTCCACACAGAAGCGCCAACTGACCCAGCCGAGTCTCGAACCAGCGACCTTCTTGCTGTCGTGCTACCCACTACACAAAACTGACTATTTAATCTAGTTTGTTATTTTGTTCAGAATGTTATTTATTTAATTGCTAATTCTTTTAAATTCAATTTGTTAAATAGTTTTTTCTCCAGATGTTTCCAGAGACCCCTTAGCACTTCCTTGCAGTCCCTGGGGGTCATCAAAGTTAAATTAACCAATACATTTCTCATCGATATATACACTAGGTATTGCATACGGACCCTGAGCATGCGTCAATACCACCGCCATATTTGTACAGGGCTCCCAGGACACTAGTCAAAACTAAAGCCAATATGAAGATGCTGGATTTTAGCGCTGTGTACGGGTGTATTAACGAGCGAACAAACAACTTAACAAGTAATGTTATTGATGATAATACAATCACTTACTCAACTGACCATAAGGCTAAGTAGCACCAACTCTGAACACTAGGCTTATGCTAGTTTTGTTGAATAAAATGAGAAAACAACATAAATTAAATATGACAACAAGATGCTGCGCTACTAGAAACTTGTATTATTGTTGGCTAAGTGAAGGAGTCGTTCATAACGGAGATTCATTTACAAATGAATCGCTTCCTCCGTTAGCATTAGAAGTGAAAGCAGGAGAGGGGGTGTGTTTCAGGACAATGGATTAGATCAAAATTAACAGGAAGGGATTATAATACATTTCCATGCACACAAACACAAGCTCTTTGTCAGGAATTCCCATAGGGTCACTTATCCATCGATGTAGAAAATTTTAATTTAGTTAATTTAAATAAAATATTGGCATACTGACCACCGGGAAAACTCTTGATAATAGATATATGTATATATGTGTGTATATCTCTGGCTCTGGATGGTCACAGTCCTCCACTACTCCTTGGTCCCACATTCATTTCAAAGGAGAGCTACCCTGTTCTAAAATGGTGGCTCTATTAATGCATTCATTCCAATAGACAACAATAGTGTAAGCGACATCTAATGTCTACATTTATTTTTGTTTTCCATGTGCAAAACCATATATATGTATATATATATATATATATATATATATATATATATATATATATAGGCAAGGCAAGTTATGATCAGTTATGCATTTTACCGGTTATGCCTATGTTTTAGTACAGCTCCTACACCATTTCCAGTGTATTTCCCCCCTCTGTTTTCTTGCTAACACCACTTTAACTGTAACGCATCAGATTTTTTTCTCTTGGATAATGTGAGTTTGTGTGTAGACATTGCTCTGATTCATACACTCCAGCACTTTCAGCTGCAAATCTGGGTCAAATGTTGGACTGATATTTTACAAGAGCACACACAGATTCAGCAGAAATGTAAGCAGATCTCTGTTTACGACTCGCATATGCTCTCGTGATAAAGGTCAACTAGTGTGGTTTGCCGAGACTGAGCTGGAAAAACTGACATAAACAGCTGGCTGTGTTATTGCTGTTGTAGAGCTCTATTAAATCTTCTGTTTTAAATGGTTACATTTGAGTTTCATTACTACAAAATCAATCCTCAACTTAAAGAAAATCTGGGTATACCTAGGCATAGTCGAATAGTAAGAGTTCGGTATGGGAATGGCCATACCATGAGCCTTTTGTCAAATTGAATTATAATTTAGCATATTTTAAACTTAACAGCAAGACAGGATACTTAATATTAGTTAGCTCATTCACTCAATTTAAGAAAAATAAACCTCCACCAATTAAGTAAAAAAGATTTAACTAGTGTAAGAATTGAAATATTGCAAATATTCTGATATCTTTGACAATTCAAAACATGAGCTGAAAACAGAGACTGGTGACTTCACAACCCACCAGGGAGGAATGCGGGAAAAACCAGTTCCTGCTGCATTTGCATCTGAGTCTGCTTCATCCCCCCAACTCACACATATGGTCATTTCAATGTTTGAATGTTCTAGAATTAACCAAACTGACTTTAACTATCATGTTTGATATCATTTGAAATGTCTCAGTGCGATTGGTACAATGGTCTCATTCTCTCAGAAATAGACATAATCAGAACAATAAATATATAACTTCAGGCATCTTTTGATCCACTGTGAGGGGTGTGACACTAAGTGTGAATGCCTTTTGTTATACATTCACACCCCCTTCCTTGAGGGAATTCTTGGATTATTTAAGGTAAGGACTAAGAAAAGCTCAGGGCGATTCTGCCTAACCAGATCAGCCCATAACATGGGGTCTGCCCCATGTTATGTATATTTCAAAGTCAGGTATGCATCTTTTCATCTTGGATTTATCTTTGATAATTTGATGTTTTGTATTGATCGTTTATGAATTGACTGATTGAATTGGCATAATACATTTACCTGACTAATAAATTGTTATGTTTTGAATGATTCAAACAGAGTTCGTGTTATTATCTTTAGTAGATTGTGGTAATTTCATAGCACCACAAGCCCCTGTTCAGGTTAGTAGCGGACTAGAACACGGTAGACGGAGCATTGCGGCACGTTACACGATGTCTCTAGAGCTCCGACTAACAAATTGGCATTTATTCATGTATACTTAGGCTGTAAAAGGATATCTAAGGGGATAGTCCTTCACCCGATAAACTTTTAATACTATTTAGATAGTATAGTGATTATTCAAAGTTACTACTAGTTTAAGTACGACTGGTCTGCTTAATTCTATAGTAATGATCGTTATATGACTAAATAGCTCTGTCTGATTTAGGAGGTAGCAGACCTATGGGGACCGCATAAAAAATATCCTAATCTGAGTAAGTAGGGTTCTGCCTTTTTAGGATAGCGGTCAATCGCCCCTGTTTAGTGACCAAGACTGACATGCTTGTGCTTAAGAAATTGTATACTCGGCCGGTACAAGATTCAGGATGTTATAGAGATCCCAATGAACGAGAATAACATAAAACGATGAACCGAAGAGAATATTCAATCATAATCTAAATTAATGTGAAAGGAAACAAAATAACCTTCTCAATGTTTTATAATTGGAGTCAGATAAAACGAGGATAAATATATTCATATTCTAAACCACCTCATACTAAAATTGGAGTCAGATATGAGTTAAGTTTAATATAAATCAACATTGTGCACTGGAAAGACCGAACATGCAGTGAACCTTCATCCACCATTGGATACCGTCATTGGACCAACTGGCTGGACCTTACACTAGGCATCCACTAGTGCACTCTCAAAGCAAGGCTCATTAATATTCATGACCATTCCAAATATGGTCAATATGGAGCTTTTGATTCTAGGGGTATTCATTCAGTCATTTTCTTTTCGGCTTAGTCCCTTTATTAATCTGGGGTCGCCACAGCAGAATGAACCGCCAACTTATCCAGCATGTTTTACACAGCTGATGCCCTTCTATTTGCAACCCATCACTGGGAAACACTCATACAATCTCATTCAAACACATACACTAGGACAATTTAGCTTACCCAATTCACCTGTACCACATGGTTTTGGTCTGTAGGGGAAACCAAAGCACCCGGAGGAAACCCACGCCAAAACGGGGAGAACATGCAAACTCCACAATTCAAGGGGTATTTTACGGAGAAATAAATGATCAGATAAAACCATTTCTGAGGATTGTTTTTACTTACCTGAGCCATATACCTACTATGTAGATATCAGAGAATTAATGCAGTATATGGCACTTTTAGGACTGATGTCATTACAAGTTTTATTTTAGAGCTATTTGATATTAAAACAGGTATTTCCACATTAAAACAAATGAGGTATTTTAATGAGTCGGAGTAAAATAGAGATAAGGATTCAAGTGCGGTTTATTAAGAGAATCGGAAGGCAGGCAAAGGTCAAAACAGGGACAGACAGGAGCAAAACAACATAAAACAATAAACCAAGTAAAGGTTAAGAAACATGGCAGAAAAGAACTGAAAACGATTCCTATTGCTCACTTACAGCTTACAAAACTCAGCAAAATCTGTGTGTGTGTGTGCTGTGTTTTTATGGTATATCTGATTAGTCCATCATAAGCTTCCAGCTGTGTGTGTAATCAGGGAGAGAACTGACACTGGTGTGTGTGTGTGGTGCATGATGGGAGTTGTAGTTCATTAAAGTGGCAGATGTGTAGTTCTCCAGCGATCTAGCATTTGCAGATCTACACATCTGCCACTTTAATAAACTACAACTCCCATCATGCACCACACACACACACACCAGTGTCAGTTCTCTCCCTGATTACACAGGTGATTGTGATTGTGACAGGTATGAGGTATTCGATTTTAATGGTTTGGTTAAAAATAATATGATCTCAAATCAGTTGGTTGAAACTTTGAATAAACAGTTTAAAAATGCAATTCTCTTGTTTTTATTTCCTTTAATTTTAAATGTATTATCAAAAATGATGGTAATCTAATGAAGGCATGCGCATGAATGATTGAATTGGTCTTGAAAATGTGGCCCTAAAATCCACAAAAAAAAAAAAAAAAGAAACAGTGCACAATTACTCCTAAAACTAAGAAATGGAAGAAAATGTCTTCATTTTTTTAGACACAAGTCGATATTATAAATGGTAACATTTTTAAAATAATGGTCCATTAGTTAATGTACTTGCTAACATGAACAAAACAATTAGAAATACATTTATTACAGTATTTATTCTGCATTAATAATGTTAACAAGCATGAATTTTAATAATGCATTAGTAATAAGTAAATACATTAACTAACATTAAATAATGTACCATTATTCTAAAGTGTTACCCATAATTTAAGTTCACAACAAGCATGTCTGAAAATGTAACATTTTTATTCCAATTTATAACTTTTTTTCCATTTTTTGTTCGTGTTTTGCCTGTTAAAAATATGCAACACACACATGTACACATGCAGTGCTTTTGCAGGGGTTATGTGGACTTACATATATCTTGAATGAGGGTCAGTACAGCAGCTTCCCTCATACCGCAGCAGTTCTCAACCAGGTTCAGATACTGAAAAACACAATTAATCATAAGCTAAAACATCATAATCATGACAGCCCTATGATGATTGTTAAAATTACGCTTATGACTGTATCAAATTTTATTGTTGCCATTTTTTTAACTGTTTAAAGTAAATCTGCCAAAATGTACTTTATTAGGTATATTAAGCAAAAATACTCAGTCTATTGCTTTATTGTATATACAGTACATAGTGTAAAGTACAAAAGGTAACCATTTACAAAAAAGTCTCATTGGTAAAATGGTAGTTAATGGATTAAAATCTCAACGGTGAGGAATAGCCACATTTATTAGTTATGTTAATAATATTAGTAAAAAATGCAACTGAATTGTTATTATTAACTCTATTTAATAAAACTCACCCGCCTTCTAATTAGAGTATGATTCCATCAGCTGTTTTTGTTTCTGTTAGCTTTGTGTTTTTGATTGTTTGGCGCCATTTTCATTCATTCATTTTCTTGTCGGCTTAGTCCCTTTATTAATCCGGGGTTGCCACAGCGGAATGAACCGCCAACTTATCCAGCAAGTTTTTACGCAGCTGATGCCCTTCCAGCCGCAACCCATCTCTGGGAATCATTCACACACTTATACACTACGTGCAATTTAGCCTACCCAATTCACCTGTACCGCATGTCTTTGGACTGTGGGGAAAACCAGAGCACCCGGAGGAAACCCACGCGAACGCAGGGAGAACATGCAAACTCCACACAGAAACGCCAACTGAGCCGAGGCTCGAACCAGCAACCCAGTGACCTTCTTGCTGTGAGGCGAACGTGCTACCCACTACGCCACTGCATGCGCCATCTTGTGTCTGAATAATGTGCAGGTTAGTGTATACTCCATCAGCTGTTTTTGATTCTGTCAGCTTTGTGTTTTTGACTGTTTGGCTCCATCTTATGTCTGAATAATGTGCAGGTTAGTGTGCGCTCCATCAGCTGTTTTAGTTTCTGTTGTGTTTTTGACTGTTTGGCGTCATCTTATGTCTGAATAATGCTCAGGTTAGTGTGTGCTCCAGCTGTTTTCATTTCTGTCAGCTTTGTGTTTTTGACTGTTTGGCGCCATCTTGTGTCTGAATAGTGCACAGGTTAGTGTATACTCCATCAGCTGTTTTTGTTTCTGTCAGCTTTGTGTTTTTGACTGTTTGGCGCCATCTTGTGTCTGAATAGTGCACAGGTTAGTGTATACTCCATCAGCTGTTTTTGTTTCTGTCAGCTTTGTGTTTTTGACTGTTTGGCGCCATCTTGTGTCTGTATAATGCGCAGGTTAGTGTATACTCCATCAGCTGTTTTAGGTTCTGTCAGCTTTGTGTTTTTGATTGTTTGGCGTCATCTTATGTCTGAATAATGCTCAGGTTAGTGTGTGCTCCAGCTGTTTTCGTTTCTGTCAGCTTTGTGTTTTTGATTGTTTGGCTCCATCTTGTGTCCGAATAATGCGCAGGTTAGTGTATACTCCAGCTGTTTTCGTTTCTGTCAGCTTTGTGTTTTTGATTGTTTGGCTCCATCTTGTGTCCGAATAATGCGCAGGTTAGTGTATACTCCAGCTGTTTTCGTTTCTGTCAGCTTTGTGTTTTTGACTGTTTGGCGCCATCTTGTGTCTGAATAATGCTCAGGTTAGTGTATACTCCATCAGCTGTTTTTGATTCTGTCAGCTTTGTGTTTTTGACTGTTTGGCTCCATCTTGTGTCTGAATAATGTGCAGGTTAGTGTATACTCCATCAGCTGTTTTAGTTTCTGTTGTGTTTTTGACTGTTTGGCGTCATCTTATGTCTGAATAATGCTCAGGTTAGTGTGTGCTCCAGCTGTTTTCATTTCTGTCAGCTTTGTGTTTTTGACTGTTTGGCGCCATCTTGTGTCTGAATAGTGCACAGGTTAGTGTATACTCCATCAGCTGTTTTTGTTTCTGTCAGCTTTGTGTTTTTGACTGTTTGGCGCCATCTTGTGTCTGAATAGTGCACAGGTTAGTGTATACTCCATCAGCTGTTTTTGTTTCTGTCAGCTTTGTGTTTTTGACTGTTTGGCGCCATCTTGTGTCTGTATAATGCGCAGGTTAGTGTATACTCCATCAGCTGTTTTAGGTTCTGTCAGCTTTGTGTTTTTGATTGTTTGGCGTCATCTTATGTCTGAATAATGCTCAGGTTAGTGTGTGCTCCAGCTGTTTTCGTTTCTGTCAGCTTTGTGTTTTTGATTGTTTGGCTCCATCTTGTGTCCGAATAATGCGCAGGTTAGTGTATACTCCAGCTGTTTTCGTTTCTGTCAGCTTTGTGTTTTTGATTGTTTGGCTCCATCTTGTGTCCGAATAATGCGCAGGTTAGTGTATACTCCAGCTGTTTTCGTTTCTGTCAGCTTTGTGTTTTTGACTGTTTGGCGCCATCTTGTGTCTGAATAATGCTCAGGTTAGTGTATACTCCATCAGCTGTTTTTGTTTCTGTCAGCTTTGTGTTTTTGACTGTTTGGCGTCATCTTATGTCTGAATAATGCGCAGATTAGTGTATACTCCAGCTGTTTTAGGTTCTGTCAGCTTTGTGTTTTTGATTGTTTGGCGTCATCTTGTGTCTGAATAATGTGCAGGTTAGTGTATACTCCAGCTCTTTTCGTTTCTGTCAGCTTTGTGTTTTTGACTGTTTGGCGCCATCTTATGTCTGAATAATGCGCAGGTTAGTGTATACTCCATCAGCTGTTTTAGTTTCTGTTGTGTTTTTGACTGTTTGGCGTCATCTTATGTCTGAATAATGCGCAGATTAGTGTATACTCCAGCTGTTTTAGGTTCTGTCAGCTTTGTGTTTTTGATTGTTTGGCGTCATCTTGTGTCTGAATAATGCGCAGGTTAGTGTATACTCTATCAGCTGTTTTCCTTTGTCAGCTTTGTATTTTTGACTATGTGGCGCCATCTTTTGTCTGAATAATGCACATGTTAGTGTATAATCCATCAGTTGTTTTCATTTCTTTCAGCCTTGCATATAATTAAAGAGTTGTTACATGAAATTAGAAGGATAAAGTACATCCAGAGTGGTTGTTTTCGCATTTGTTTGTTCCACATAATTGTTCTTTGTAATCTGTTTTTTTTTTTTATTCAAAGCTTGTAATACTTTAATAAAATAAATACTTAGACAGAAATTTGGCACTAGGCATCATTAAACAAAAGCTAAGAAACTCTAATACTGGTTAAAATGTAAAGCTGTAAATTTACAGCAGAAAACATAGGAAAAATGCAGGTGAAGAATCGTTTTGGAATCGGATCGTGCCCCCTAGAATTAGATCGTGACGTTCCTAAAGAACTCCCACTCATAATTTACAGCGTCCTTGGCATCACTATTGGATATTTGGCCATTTTGTTGTACGTGCCCCACCTTGCGTAGGTCTCCTCCCTGGCAGAACTCCATGGCCAGCAATGGCAGGTCATTTGTGGCCAGTTTCTGGAGCTCTTCAGGAACATCTCTCGCCGCAACCACATTCATATGAGTCAACCTGTGAAAAAGAGACGCTCGCATCGTAACAGGCACACAACAGAGAACTCAAAGTACATTGTAACTTGCAGTATTCTCATAAGCCGGGTTACATAATGTTATTATTAAAAATGTGTTTGTAATATTGAGACGGCGGGTCGCCCTGCCCTACACGAACCTCCTATAAAACGTACGCTCAGGACAAAGAGGAATAAAAGCAGATGGATTCCAGGCACCATAACAGGATAACGACAGTGGCAACACCTAAAACTATCATCGGAGAAAATAAACAGCTCGTTTTAACCTTCACAGCAAACATCTCCACATAATTGCTGTAATAATAAAAAATGAGGTCTTAAGTAATGCCGGGTGGGTTGCGTAAGAGGTGTTTCATTACATCTTTACAACCTAAAGAATCTAGAGCATCAAAATGTGTCAGGGTTTTTTCTTTTTATGTCGATGGTATGACATACAAAACAAACAATTCACATATACTGGACATATTTTTGAGTATGCAACATTGTAGTTAGACAATGAGTTATTAGACATTGATAGCATGTCTCAAGTTCGTAATGGAAAAATAGTGTATCTGTGTATGTCTGAATTTAAAGGGCATTATGAGATCTAATATTACTGCAATTGTATGGAGACAGATAAGACTCAAAAGTAATTCACGCAAAAGACACGATTTACTCATGCGTAGCCAAATTCATGTGCATAAAACCAAATTCACATGCGTAAAATATTTATTTACATTCACAAAAAAATTTCACGTGCTCAAAATAAAAATACATTTTCATAAAATACGTTTCACAAATGCAAAACACCACATGCAAATGTGTAAGAGTGTACAAAAAGTTTTGAATGTTTAAAACTTGCGAGTTCATCCTGAATGAGAATGTGCAAATCCTCTTACACGTACGACTCCCCCTGGATACGTGTGTGTGTGTATTTTTGAGACTTTCCTGCCAGAGGCAGGGTAACTCCTACCTTTCAGCCAATCAGAGGAGAGCTGTAGTCAAGGACACCCACTCTGCGCTCTATTTGCGCAGACTGTTTCTCTCCAGCATGGCGAACGGAGAAAGCAGCAGTCGCACTTTTTTTTATTTATTTATTTATTTGACCATAGCCTCACTCTTTTTATCCATTATTTTGCCGCAGCTCCGCTCTTCAAATTTATTGTCTCGCAGCCCCATGAGTAAACTTTAACCTGCAGGGTAATGATGAGGATTAAAGCTGCGTCCCAAATGGCACACTATACACTATGCACTCATGCACTATGTACTTATGCACTTACACACTCAACAGGATAGTATATGTATGTAGTGTCGTCCCAAATGGCACACTAATGTTTTTTTTACTAAGCGGAAATTCAAACCGTTTCCCTGATGACGTTTGACGGTTGCCAAATCAGTGAAATAAACAACAGAATTATCAAATAATACCTGCCGTGAGTATTGCCGCATTCACCATCGGGAGGCGCTATAATCACTCTCGTTGGAGAAATTTGCTTTCACCATCCAAAATAAATAAAGTTATCCAACATGTGCGTCCGATAGCTCCGCCCCTTCCGCTACGTATGCAAACCTGCGGTCGTTGAGTGCGTGAAGTGTCCATCATTACACACTTCATTTTAGCAGCTGAATGAGTGCATCATCCGGGTAATTAAAGTGCACTTATGATTTTTAGAGTTTTCAGTGTGAACACACTACTTACACTGTTTATACTACAAAATGGCGTAGAATAGTGCATAAGTATGCGATTTGGGACGCAGCTTCTGTATTATTCCAGCCATGCAAGCCTTAACAGTGCCGTTGTAGTCCAGCGGTCAGCTCGTTGGATTGCCACGCCGTCGACCTCTGTTCGTTCCTCACCTGAGTTAGTTTTTTTTTTTTTTTTCATTTTTATTGTTAAGACATACAAAACTGTAAGGTTGTTGAACATTTGAAGTTCTAAAGCAGCTGTTTTCTTGAAAAAGACGTGATAGTGAGTCAGTCGTGAACTGAGGTGGGCCGGTCTAAAGCAGGTCGCACACCAGAAGCGCCACGCTGCACCATGTATTTTAGAATTCTAATCATAGGTTTCTATCAGGATACACACACCGGCGCCGCAAGTCGGCGGCTGTCGGCGGCGCATGGCGATGGCTCAGGACGCAGTTCATTTTTCAGCCGCGCCACAGAGTGCCATCTGATTAGTTTCATGTTAAATATCATTCGAATGTGCGCGTCTGGTGTGCGATACTTTAATCTGTCATGTACACGCCGTGTCGCGGCGCCGAGCGGCGCTTCTGGTGTGCGGCCTGCTTTAGGCTTGAAACTCCAGGGCTCAAGGAGTAGAGCGCAGATAGAGCGCAGAGTGGGTGTCCTTTACTACAGCTCTCCTCTGATTGGCTGAAAGGTAGGAGTTACCCTGCCTCTGGCAGGAAAGTCTCAAAAATACACACACACACGTATCCAGGGGGAGTCGTACGTGTAAGAGGATTTGCACATTCTCATTCAGGATGAACTCACAAGTTTTAAACATTCAAAACTTTTTGTACACTCTTTTACAATTGCAAGTGGTGTTTTGCATTTGTGAAACGTATTTTATGAAAATGTATTTTTATTTTGAGCACGTGAAATTTTTTTGTGAATGTAAATAAATATTTTACACATGTGAATTTGGTTTTATGCACGTGAATTTGGCTACGCATGAGTAAATCGTGTCTTTTGCATGAATTACTTTTGAGTCTTATCTGTCTCCATACAATTTTCCTTATTATGATTAAATAAACCTTCTCTAATAACATTCATCTGAAGAAACTACAAACAGTGTAACGCAAAAATGTACCGGGGGTAGAGAGCAGTGAGCACTATGTAGGAAACATGTCAACTGGAACACTTCCTTCATGGAGCTCTCATAACTAGCTGAATCAGGCATGTTAAACACAGAAGACAAAGGCTGCATCCGAAACCGCATACTTCCATAGTATATAGGACACTAAAATCAGTATGCGAGCCGAGTAGAATGTCCGAATTCATAGAATTAGAAAATCAGTATGCGAGAAGTTCCCGGATGACTTACTACTTCCGGCGAGATTATGGAGTATGCATCCCCTGCATGCTGCGCTATCCCATGATGCCCCGCGAGCGAATTCATGAATGAGAGTTAAGCGACGCAACTGACGCAGTTAGGTCACGTGACCACGACAAAATAGCGGATGTAGTATGTCCGAATTCCATTCATACTTTTCACATTCATACTGTATAGAACGTACTTTTCTAACGGCCGAGTAGTACGTTTAAATTCAAATGCAGCACCTACTGAGTAGTAGGCGATTTCGGACGCAGCCAAAGGCTTTATGTAAAATTATCTGTTGATTAGTTTTTAGTCACCTGACCTGTGTGGAGACCTGGTGGGCAAAAAAACAATGGGCGGTAATGGCAGGTATTCTGGGATCTCCATAGAAACGCAGCACAATCCCCTCATTTTCCATTTGTTTCAAGCTACATCCAAATCAGGTGAACGGTGTAGGATTTACAACAGTTTGCATATGTGCTTCCCACTTGTTAAGGGTACAAAATTCATTGGACAATTGGCTTCTCAGCTGTTCCATGACCAGGTGTTTGTTATTCCCTCATTATCCCAATTATAATGAGAGTAGAATAGGTACAGAGTTCATTTCATGTGTGCTCTTCACATTTGGAATCTGTTGCTGTCAACTCTCAAGATGAAATGCAAAGAGCTGTCACCATCAGTCAAACAAGCTATCATTAGGCTGAAAGCCATAATTATGCTGGAGGCACAAATAAAAACTGTATTAATTCCTACATCTTCCTAAATACCCTCAAATTAAAGCTGACAATTAAAGCAGAAAGAAGCCCTTATGACACAGAGAGCAGAGTCATTGCATCTAGTATGTTATCATTATGAGACATCTCAGGGATGCGCTGAACTCACGCTGGGTTACGGTGGACACGTCATAGTCCGACACACTCAAATAATCACTGCTTATTTATCCTGATGGGTGAGTTTCATTAAACCACACGCTGTTTTGACGTCAGTCCATTTCTGAGCTGATGCCAATACAGTCAGGATTCCTTAGTAAAGATGACGGGATTCCTTTCCCTCCACAAAAATAAAAAACAAGCAAAGGAAAAAAAAAAGTGTGCATAGCTGCAATCGAAGGTCATTTCTGAGATTAAACACTGATATCATCATAATTCATCATCACAGAATGTGTGTGAAATTAGAGAAACTGAGTAGGCCTGGGTGTGTTCCTCAAACACATCAGTCTGTGTGATGGCTGTGGTTTTGGCTGAATGCACCGAACTCTAGTTTGAGTCCAGGTTTGTGGCTCAGACCAAGTCTGGGGACAGACTGCTGTAAATCTGAGTAAACCAACACGTCCCCTAACCCCTCTCGCTCGTCACACAACCATACTACACCACAGCAGCATCAAGGAAACACTCTGTCACATTCATCTGCAGTTTAACTATTTACATTCATATTCAAATAGCACTGGGGACATGTTGCAAGCGGCTTTTTAACTAGGTTAAATGGATGAAACCCAGACTCTTGGATTGTGCTGGGTGACTCGTTTGCTATTATGAATGTTTTAAAAGCACCATGTCAGATTTTTTCATTAAAATATCTAAAACCACTAGAACAGTGTTATATACACTAACCGGCCACTTTATTAGGTACAGCTTACTAAAAGGGGGTTGGACATCCCTTTGCCTTCACAACTGCCTTAATTCTTCGAGGCATAGATTCAGAAAATGTTCCTCAGAGATTTTGCTCCATATTGACATGATAGCATCATGCAGTTGCTGCAGATTTGTCGGCTGCACATCCATTTGACTACAGTGAACTCATTGTCATGTTCAAGAAACTAGTCTGAGATGATTCACGCTTTATGACAACGTGCATCATCCTGCTGGAAGCAGCTATCAGAAGATGGAGACACTGTGGTCATAAAGGGATGGACATGGTCAGGAACAATACTCAGGTAGGCTGTGGTGTTGACACGATGCTTAATTG